TATAAAAAGAAATCAAATTTTCTTCGCTGACACTAACAACTTGTCGTTTAAAGCTCGTAAAATTTTGACATGTACTAGTATTTGTGAAATGCCCCTTGACGCGAGGTCTGATAAATTTTGTACGCATTGGATATTCTTGTATCTATCTACTGAGTAACCTCTAGCTGTATCGTCGACATTGCTGAGCACTGGCATTTTAGCTTCTTTTTTTTTTTGTCAAAAAGGGATTAACTCCCTACCGAAATACATTGTTTTTCTTTCTTTGTTTTGTTTTGTTTTTTTTTTTTTTGGGGGGGGGGGTATTTTTAACTGGTCATTTTAAGTCCCCCCCTTTTCTGAAAAACGTTGTTACGAACATGCCTAAAGAAATGGCCAAATATGATTCATTCAAAAGAATTAGGCAGTCATTCTTCCCATTTATCAATAAAAGATTAAACAGAACTTATAGCAAACCTTCCTACACAAAAATGTACTTATTTTCGTAACCTTTAATTCAGACAAACATTGCATCTTTGGAAGAAATTAAAATAACAATCAGATGCAATATTACAGGGAAATAAATCTGTATTCAATCTTTCAGATTTAATTTCCAGAATTATGTTTTTGGGGTTTTATAAATATTGACCCATTATTTACCAGGCATGTTGTTGTTGGGGGGGGGGGGTTCCATACATGTTTCACTGGTAGTTGAATGATATAGAATGAAGATGTTTACTGAATGGCTAATTGCACCCACCTCTACCCCCCCCCCTTTTTTTTATAGCAAACTCAAATCTTCCCATATAATGCATAAAAATAATCTGGTCATTATTTTTGGGTTGCAGCATTTACTTTTTTCTCCTTTTTTCCGCCTGGTCCAAGACTTTTAACAAATGATACTAGATTTTATTCTCAAATTTCAAGAAATATATATCGTAGCAAACACATTAGTCTCGTTCAACCACAAGCTAGGCTGTCTCCGTAAACAGTAAAAACCGGTTCTTTACTTGAATGAGACAACAAACACATTGACCTGCATATGACCGTGACGAAGGCAGATCGCCAATCGCGTTTATGCATACACAGTGACTGTTGTTTTGAAAAAAAAAAATCAGATGTTTTCTTCATTAAATTTAATGCGTTACAAAGAATCAATCTTTTCAAACTTCGTCATTTGCTAATGTAGAGCTGAACAAAATTTTAATCGTATATATAAACCTATATGCTGGGAACGGTTTAAGATTTTTTTTTTCATTTATTGTTAATTATCTTAATTCGGTTACTATGTATGTGTGTTAAAAAGGATGTGTCATGCAGATATATATATCGATTATGTACATGTACAATCGCTTTCAATGTGTTAAAGTAAAATTTTAAGTGTTAAAAATTGGATAAAAAACTACACCTAATTATATCAACAATATTTAATATTCAATATTGGAAATGTCCATTTATATGGAACTTAGCTCTAAAATTCATATTTTCTTTTTCCCTGATATTTTATTGGCTCTAAATGATATATACAACAATGAAAATAAGTTGATAGCGCTCAGGTAAAAATGTTGGAAAAATATGTAACATACGCAACTTGCATTTTATGACGTTATCATTACCGGCGTTTTTCTCATTATGACGTCAAAATACATAAGGGCCCTTTTCGCATGGGACGGCTCATATACATTTGATAGCTTTTTCTTTAAAATATGTACAGAAGATTCTTTTTAATTAAAATATTTATAACACTGAAATAATGAATTTATGAGAGGTACATGTATGTACACATCAGACGTCGTAACTGCTTGTATGAAATTTGGGGCGGATCCAAATACTTTGTGCATATTGATGTTTTATGCACATTTTATTCACCTATACTTATTGGCCTTTTTCTAAATATATATTTTTCATTTGACCAACAAATACTTGTGCTTCGTCAGAAAATATCACAGATTTCCACTTGTCCTTATAACGTCCAGACTTCACAACACCTTGTATGAAACTGGGCGCAGGTCCAAATACTTTGTGCATACATGTATTGGTGCTTTATGTGTCATTCACAACTTCTCCTTGGCTTTTCTCTTAATATATATTTTTTTCGTTTGACCAATAAATACTTGACAGGTGCTTTGTCTGAAAATTTCACATATTTCAACTGTCCTTATAACGTCCATTTTTTTTTTTTTCGTTTTTGACACGTTCGATATTGTCTAAATTTTACACAACACTTGTTGTCTTGTTGCCTTTACGAAATAGTCCCAATAGATGTTATTAGAATATAAAGTCCGCCGACAATGTGTATTATATTTAACTAACTCTCCACATGCTCCTGTACTAAAAGTAGTGGCACGCGACTTTTAATACAAACGGGGAGTAACTCTATAACTTATAGCGTGAGCGATACCAACAAATTCCCAACTGACTTTTGATAACAAAAAAAAAAAAAAAAAAAAAAAAAAGGAACAAGACCGTTTGAGAGGGCGGGCGGAGCCATAGGGAGTTATATGGTACAAGTAGAGCTTTTACAAAAAGCTTTGCCGTCTTAAGTAACAACCTAAAACAGTAAACTGAGCTATACCTACATTGCATCAGGCCGTGTTTCTAGGCTTTGTATTTCTTCCGCAGTTTTTTTTTTACTGACATTAGCCTTACCATGTGAAAGTTCAACCAGACGTTCGGCTGTCTCCGTAAACTCCGACACAGCTAGTCGATCGATATTAGAAAAAAATATTAGACAGTAAAAAAAAAAAAAAAAAAAAAAAAAAAAAAAAAAAAAAAGAATAAATATAAGCAGTAAAGCTTGCATATAATAATGAACATTTCTGTTTACATGAAAATAGAGAATGCTTTTTAGTTATTGCTATATAAAAAAATAATGTGTTATTTCATTGTAGGTTTATTTATTGCCATTTTCCTCTGATCGTTTTGTCAATCTTTTTTAAGATTAAAAATGTTGAACAATTGTTAAGTCGTACGAAAATTAGATCACCAGAAAATTTTCTCCCTTGCCTAGAACAGCATTTCAAGCAATGAAATAATTGAAATTTTTTACATTATGAAATTTCCACCAATCGTAAAAGAGAGGAAGTGTTTAGTCCTAAGACTATAAGACACTTCAACTCTGTAGACCGTCTTCCAAAGAAGACGGTAATGAAATTTCATTGCAAAAGCTCTACATCGGTTAGAGATATTGCCCGGGAACGAAAGTATTACACACAGACAGAATGTATGAATTTACAACCTTTACCTTTGACCTTTTGACTTTAAAATTAATAGGGGTCATCTTAATTTAGGCCAAAGGGGGAAAATTTCATTGCAAAACCTCAAGGGTTTCTCGAGACATATCGGGCGGAAACAAAATTGTAACAGACAGACAGAAATATATCTAGACGGACGGACATACAGACCCAAATTAATATCCCCCACTTTCAATGAAAACGGGGGACAAAAAGTAGAATCAATGAAAGTCAAACAGGAATTGTTAAAGAAACGCCTAACGAATTGTCCAGTGTTTCATATTTGTGGTCAGTAATCAAAGCAATACACACTCAGTAAATCGAAAATTACTTCCTAAAAACACTCTAAAGTTGAAATTAAAGGATGTTGGAGTTCCTCATTGACAACATTTAAGTATCTTTGGAGACCAAGTTTCCAAAAAACTATTTTATGCCCTCTTCACATATTTGTATTGTTGATAATTACCTAGTACTTCGGTGCTAGCTTGAAAATACGGGATATATATTTAATTGCTGTAGTAAAATTTAGAAATTTATTTCAAAATTAAGGATTGTCTCCTACATGCATACATGCAGCTCTGATCCTTCGACGTATTTGGCTCCAGTCTTTGGCACCTTTTTTCAGCTCTTCCAAGTCTTTTTATTTAAATATTTTGGATTTCCAACGTTTCGGCTTACGCATCAATGAAGAGACATAATTTGTTGAAATGCGCATCTGGTGCATCAAAATTAGCACCGTATATGATTTACACCCAGTAAATCGAAAATTACTTCCTTAAAACACTGTAAGTTGAAATTAAAGATGTTGAAGTTCCTCATTAAGTGTCTTCGGAGACCAAGTTTCCAACAAACTATTTTATGCCTTTTTCACATATTTGTATTATTGATAATTTTTTTTGAGATTGATCACTATTTCGTTACATGTATGTACACCGTTTACATGCATCTGTAGGGTAAGTCGCATTTTATAGTCATTTCTATTAATTTTATAGTAATCAAACAGAACCAATCAGTGTAAGTGTTATAAAGTAATTATTCAAAATCAGGATAATATCTTTTGCTATTATAGAGAGCTGACTTATAGTGTATCCTAGCGCCAAATTTAACTTAAAATCTTAAAAATTGAAAAAGTTACATTAATTTTGAAAATCAAAGATTATAATTTGTTTTATTTTAAGTAATCATACCAAAAAATAAACAGTGTATGGGAGAAAATGATAAAAGAAATAATAAATTTAAATGAGCTCGAGTCTTTTTGCAATTGAACTTAAACTGAGAAGTAACATGTTTAGAAAAAAAATTCTCGGAATTCTTTTTTTTTTTCCCCGTCAATTTGACAAAAAATGAAATAAGAAATAAAAGAGCCTGAATCTTTTGCAAGGTTTTAAATTAAGAAATGGCTATTTTAGTAGGCATAGGAACATCGGATATATATAAAAAAGCAAATGGAATTAATTTTTGGTGTGTAGTTTAATTGTGAATAAAAATAAAGCTTTATTCAAATCTTACCAAAACTGAAGGTAAAGAAACGGTTTGAAATTGTTTAAAAACAAAGGTCAGACAGATTGACGACTCTATATGTTAAAATATAATGTCTTCGAAGAAAAAAAAATTTAAAGAAGAATACAGAAAGCCTTTAAGTTAATACATAAATATTTCTTTTAATATTTATATAACTATTGTTGTAAAAATACATATACAGATAAAGTGATCTTAAAGGGAATAAAAAGGTCACTGTCATATGTATGTTTTCTAAATAATTTAAAAAATAATAATAGAATGTTCATGAAATTCAAAGGATGACCTTGCAAGATTTTCATTAACATACAGTAGCGTATTCATTGAGTCTCTATGAAGGCTTCACATACGGGTCTGTCATTTGTATATATGTGCCTTGAGTTGTGTCTGCACAAGGACTTAGGTAATGATCATTGAAGTCTTCTGCAGGTTTTGCTGCCTTCATGTCTTCATGTTCCATCATTTCGGCTATAGTATTGTATTCTCCAGAGCTTGGTCTGTCAAAATCTCTTTGATATTCTCTGTTCATAAATGTAGAATACTGATTTCTCTCGGACATGACTGAGCTTTCGTAGTGAAGCCTGGTAAATGAAGAAGAAATCATTTTGTTTGTTTGTTTCATTTTTTTTGACAGATATCCAGTTACAAAATTTCATTACTAACCCTGTTGGCTTTGTTGTTTTCCGGAGATGAATGACTCGACACAGAAAAATGAAGACTATCAAAGCCACCAAGACTCCAAATCCTATTCCCATGTACACGTACAAAAAACTGCCGTTCCCTGAATCAGGTTTGGATGTCGATATATCTGTCAATGGTGCGATAGACAATATATAAAATACCATTTATGTATTAACATAAGTTTTGAAAATATTACCTTGAAAGGTAGAGGGAAAAAAGTAGAAAAATCATTTCCTGTATAATGCATTTGTTTTAATATGTCAAATGCATTAGAAATTGGAAAAAAAATAATGAAAATAATGTTTAACATTTTTATTTTGACTCATTCAATTATATTAACTTAAATTTAAATAATTTTTCTGAGAAAATATTTGAATCGTACAGAGACATAAACCGCTGGTATCATGATTCCAATCTCCAGTGGAATTACAGATGAGGTATTCCGGAGTGGCACGGTTGTAGTTTTCTTCACAGGAGAAGTCACATGTTTCACCAACCTTTCTACTACAATCAAGAGCTAGTCTGGCATGATGAATGGAGAACGGACATAAAATCTCTGCAGAAAAATTTAAAAGATCACGAGTGAATATACATAATTTTTAAATCTTTTTTTCATAAACCTATAAAAAGTTATTGTATATTCGTAAGTATTTTAGTTTTCTAAATTTAAAATGAATTAAAGGTTATTTTTAGGTTTGTAAAGCCACTATAGAATTATGAAAAAACGATAGTAATGCAACTATCATACCACAGCATATTTGCTGTTTAACGTTTAAAGTTAAATGCGTAGAAAGTGTGCATGTTGCTTTAGGTAATTTAATTTTACTGAGCTCAAACGGCAAGAATCAAATAGAAGCGCTTTGATGTACATTGTGTCATTATTTTAAGTAGATTTCCTATTCGAGACTTTTTCACGTTTACCTGTACAAACAAGATCAGTGTCTGGGCTCCACTGACCCGAAGAATTACAAGCGAGGGTAGTGTTCGCCATCTGTTTAAAACTCGACTTGCACTCAAACTGACATGTTTGACCAGGATAAGGAAAACATTCCAGGAAATCCATATTTATGTGAGTTGTTCTACAACTTGGCACTGAAAGATGATAAAAGTGTAAAACATTTATTGAAAATCCTGTTATTTCTGAAGAGTATTGGACGTTAAATAATAAAGTCAGAGAAAGATCATTAAAGTATTTGAAAAATATTTTTAGATTGATAAGCTATACAATAAATCGCTGGACGCCTTTAATAATGAAAAGCAGTTTTCTTAATTTAATTAAAAAAACAACTTCTCTATTAGAAAACTAGGGATATACGAGTATCAATTTAATCATTTATTAAATCTTACCTCCCGCGCAAATTGCATTATTTGGTTCCAAACTCACGTTTTCTTCACAATCACATGTTCTTCCTTCAGGAACTGGTAAGCAAAAGGTACTGCACAGACCATTCCTTACAGAGCAGCTCGTGTTTACTAGGGAAAAGTTTTACTTTAGACTTACTATAGTTATGTGACAAAAAAGACTAGGAAATTTTACAATGAAAAGAAGAAACATCCTTTCCTGGCTGTTTTTTTTATATCAAAAAGGTTAGATTGCAATAAAACGTATAATTAATCTTTAAATGTATCTTACTTTCTTCAGAGTTTGTGTTGGGTATTTTTGTCATAAAAATCATACATATGTAGCATGAAAACACCATTCCTTCTAGTTCAGATAACCTGTTATCTGTTATTCACATGCAAGCATTAATTACCATCAATGATGTCGTTAGAATAGATATCAATACTGTCAAGCCGTCCAAGCTCTGGGTGATTCTTCATAAAGGGAACTTCCGTTCCTTTGGTTTTATCAATTTTTGTTATACGTCTAAAATTTAAAAAAGAATTTGGCACGGTACAACTATATATGTAATTATAACAAGATATTTGCAAATCATTTAGAAAAGCTGCTATTTTTATAATGTATGTAAACATTGGATTATTCCCATTTATTAACTCTGTGACAACTGATCATTCAACTCTGTATTTCTATGCTCTAACATAGATGTTTTTCTTTTTGTGGATAATAATTATCTTCTCATGGATAATATATATATATATATATATATATATATATATATATATATATATATATATATATATATATATATATATATATTGGATTCAGCCTTTGCAGATTTCAACGTATTTTAATTAATGTCATCAATTATGCAAAGATGATACAATTTATTTATTTCTTCTCTTGTGAACTTACATTTCTATAATTTTATTTAATCAGAGACGAAAACATAATGTTATACGCAAATAGTCAAATGAACAGCATAATGAATTGTCGTAAAAAGCAAACGTAGGCGAAAGAATACAACTGTTTTTTGGACTACTTTTTACCTATGACACCAAAATAAATAGTACAGTTTACATAAATATTCCAAATCTATATTGAATCATTATTTACTTTTTAAAATTCAAATCCATTTATCGTGTTTCTAATTTTTCAGTTATTCTGAAAAGAAGGTAAAGTCACCATTTAAATATAGCTATGTAGACACATAAAATGTAAAGAAATCTGCCGTCACGGTAGCGCTCGCTCCGTGATCAGAAGGTCGTGTGTTCGAATCACGGCTGCGACTGACTTAAGTCGATAAAAAATAGATAGCAACTGTTCCTTCGCCAAGCTCTGGGTACTTCGAAGTGAAAGTTGCAGGTCATTCGGATAAGACCTTAAAAACCGATGCCCCGTGTCATGGTAGGCATCAATGGTCCTGAGTGCCGAGTAAAGGTCTAAATTTGAAGCCCTTCACCGGTATATGGTGACGTCTCTATATAAGTGAAAAATTCTCGAACGGGACGTAAAACAACATACAATCAATCAATAAAAAATATAACGAGATTGTTATGTATCTTACTGTCTATTCCATGCCGTATAGTACAGAAACTGTCCATTTAACACAATGTCAACAAGTTGTGCATCCTTGTCGGTCATCAAAACGCGTTGGTTTCTTCCATCGAGATCTGAGTATTCTATCGTGTTCCTCTGACCATCAGTCCAGTAGAGTCGATCAGCTAAACAGTATTGCATGTAACTTGTCATATAGAGCAGCGTGTTTAAGTTTTTTTTTCTGTTTTGTTAATTATGATTCTATAAAAAAAATATTTATCAAGCGAACATGAAAATAGAGAACTTAAAAACTAACTTTCAAAGTCCAAAGCTAAACCATTTGGGGATCCACCACTGATTGTTACTATGTATTCTTTAGAGGTACCATCCATGAATGCCCTTCCTATTTTGGAAACTTCCAAAGTCTCTGTCCAAAACAGTATTCTGAATGCAGAAGGCATTTAATATAAATAGTTAATACGGATAATTTTTCAGAGATACATACCGAAGCTGGTTTAATTATTTAAGTCTAAATAGACTCCATAATAATTTTATAAAATAATATAATATGACTATTAATAACAAATACATACCCTTTTGCTGAATATAATACAATTGCTCTTGGATTTTGCAAGTCATGTATCAATATTTTGTGAACTAATTGTGTTCTGTGTAAAACTCCAACATAACTGCTATTTGGCTGAGAAGAAATTGCCGTGAAGTAAATGTTTCCGGTCGATTGGTCAACTGCCATACGCTCAGCATAAGCAAAGCCTTGATAAAACATGTAAACAACAAACATTGCTCGATATGTTCATAAGTTTTCGTAACGGTTGTAATTATGATATAAAAAAAAAAATCTTTATAAGGTTCATTATTACATTATTTTCAATTTGTTACATTACACATACATTGACTCTCTCTCTCTCTCTCTCTGTGTGTGTTCAAAAATATTCTCAAATTTGATCCCCTAAAATAAGGACTATTAGTAAAAAAAAAAACAACACATTTTCATATACCCCCATTTTATATCAATTTTGGAATGGGCAGTAAAATATAACAAATGTTCAAATACCTGTTACAGTTGTCAAGGTTGACTGTTTTCCTTGAAGAGAAAATACTTGTACTGTTCTCGAAATTGAATTGGAATGAATTATATCCTTTGTCATTTTATCTAAAGTTATTCCTGAGGTGTGTTGTACATTGATTGGTAGTTTCACAATTTCTTCTGTATTAAAATTGATCTGTAGAATTCGTCCATGGGTGAAATCAGACACAATTATGAAGTCTGTTTTCTGAATATCTACAAATTAAAGAAAAAAAGCTTCAGACACCACAGATTCTGTTACCTCTGTTTCATATTTGGGTTTTTTTTCTCACTAAAGACGATGAGGACCAACTTACAACGAAATTGTATGAAAAACGTTATCGCCTGCATATGAGATTTATGTCTTTTTTGTGTGGAAATTTTATAATAGCAAAATTAACCTTTCATTGGGTCGTACTTTTTCTGACTTATTCATACCGATTGATGGGCCTTTGTTCTGTTTACTAAATTTGACTATGTGATCAGTACATGGACTCTCAGTGGGTGTCGACAGTGGATTCTTTCTCTTCCTAAGCATTTGAACCACCTCTGACATTTCCTGTGGTTCGTGATTTTATTTGGTTCGAACACTGTTCTTTATGTTCATTTTGCCAGTGTACCATTCTTTTTTTAACGGATAAAGATGGGAGTCATTAAGCATGTGTATTATCTTTCTTTAAAGTACAAAGTACCTTTAGGAACCTCAAAGAGAATGTCGTGGATTATTCAATGACAGTCATAATCAACTATGGATAAAAATGACTGTGAAAGGCACAAATGCATGTATAACAACTTTTGATCAGATAAGAACTGTCTTGCAAGATTATACAAAACGTAAGGTAGTCATGATTTAAAGGGATTTATAAAATATTGTGGAATTTCAAAAGATTTATTGCATGTTATTAAACGTCTTCTTAGAATTTTGTTTTAAGGGGAGAAAGGACACGTGTCTCATGACTCAATTGACAACATCATAGTCTCTGTTGATATATATGCTAAACGTTGTTAAAATAACCAGTTTTTGTGTCATTTGTTTAGCTTCAACAATTAATATAAAAATATTTATGAGTTTTTTAAGATCATGTCAATATTCACAAATTGATTGATTCACCCATCCATTTCTTTTCGCTGCCTTCTAACATACCAGTGAGTCATGTATGAATTGATCAAGTGCACGTTGTTTACACGGTCAGTTTTATTTCATAACAACAGATCACAGTGAATACATCGTGATGGATTTTTGAACCAGGAATTAAAGTTATAAATTTTGCATGTTCGGTACGTAGCAGATATTCTCTGTATTTATATTGAATTTTTCTTGCTAAAGTTTTCGTATGATGTCACAGTCGTTTTACTCATACTCGGAAAATGTATACGTGAAGCGTTTTTATTATGGTTAAAACTTGTGTCCTGTGTGATACTGAGGTAAGCATCGATAACAGTTAATTATTACGACGACGGACTTCAGTTCAATCATAATTTTTTTTTTCCAGTATGAGTTTTTTGTCTTGAAGCTGCCTTGAAAAGTGCGTAAATTATCCCACCCATATACAGTCTGAATTAAAAAAAATGCTTTAAGAAGATTAAAACATTACCAATATTCTGAAATATTTGAATGGGTACGTGTCTTCTTATTAATTATTATCTGTGCGATAAATCACATTATAGACTCAGTAATGGACCCGAAAACATGAAGAATCGAAACTTTATACAGGCACTAGACGGTGCTGTATTTGTGTGGCAATATCTTGGACTTATCGTAACTGGAAAAAATAACTATAATCAGGCTACCACTCTCAAATATAAATACTCACTACTGTCACATGACTTTTGTTCTGCTTGAAGTTGTAAACCAATATCGCATCCACATTTACTTCCGGTTTCTGTAGGAATACAAATATCATCACATCTTCCATTGAGAATTTTACAAGTGCCTACAAAATAAAAAAAATACAATACAAAGATTAATTCAGATGTTTTATCACTGAAAGAAAAAATTACACTTGGGTGATTAAGTAGTTATTACATACTGAAGATAACATGCATTATAAGGGTGCGAATTTTAAAAATATTATTTTTGCGAAGGATAATTTTTTTTTAAAAAGTACGGAAGCCCACTGAGGCTAGTTCAGAAAAAGAAATATTTCTTATTGTCACTAGTGTTTAAAATCAATTATCATTGCAATTGCACGCAAAATTTCGTGTTTAAACACAATAATCATTGCGTTTAAACGCAAAGATTGCATTTAATTGCAATGTATAATCTTTATGTTTAAAGGCAATTATTAATATAAAACCCTGCAGCGCACAATAGCCCCACGCATTATTTCTTTCTCGGATTTACGTATTAGGAAAGTGTGTATTGTCTAGCTTTATAGAATCAGCAGGAAAATTTATACAAGAGAAATAATGCCGGGCTGTAAAAGCAAAGGCAACCAAAGGACGAGACATATCCTAATTTAAACTTATTAGACCTCGATATTCTTAATGAAAGTTTGGTCAGTTGCTTACAATCACCAATCACATTTTCTCTTTTGTAATTTTTTCTTCTTTGAAACATTTTCAGCAAACAAATAGAATGGATCTTCTAAATAAAAGACCAAAGAAGAAAACAAAAGTGAAAAAATTATCCCCAACATTGCGGTTACAAAGTTTAACCCTTGTACAAAGGGGTTCAGGGAACGACTTATGAGTGTTTAAATTACGTAAAGCATGTTGAAGTATTTAGACTTCAATGTATATTCACAACCCTTACTATGGTTGCACATACAATAAACACGAGAACATAGGTGATGGAATCATATGAGATCAAATTTAAAATCAAATGAAAACAGATTGATCAATGTGTACTACCAAACTGACAAGTGCTATCAATACAATTAGTTGGGATATGTAAGCAGTTGATCAAAGACTTCATTAAGAATCGTTTACTCTGGTTGTTAGGATGCCATTGTTTTACTACAATTCTCAAAAACAGGAACAAGGTGCAAAACGACACAGACTTTGCATAGAGATATTAATCTTTGAACCAATAATCGCCTACAATAAACACAAAAACACGGGGGAAACAATAATCCAGTTATACGAAAAATGCTAAATAGGATCAGGTGGATTTGAGGAGGAATGGTCTTAAGTGCACTTTATAGACCGCTGAAACACTCTTCGCTTCCATGATAACGAATTTATTCAAAAAAAAAAAAAACAAAAACAAAAAAAACAAAAACAAACAAACAAACAAACAAACAAACAAACGGTTCTTTAAAGTGTCTGGTCCCAGTAATTATGTTTTAGCTTATTGATGTCTGGTTTTGAAACTACTGTATCATAGTTTTTAAATGCAGAACGAATCCCTAAAATGAAAGATTATTGCGTTTAAACGCAAAAAGTATTGCGTTTAGACGCAAAAGTTCTTGCCTTTAAACTCAAAATTTCTTGCGTTTAAACGCAAACTTTTGCGATTAAACGCAATGAAGATTATTGCGGTTAAACGCAATGTTTTGCGTTTAAATGCAATAATAATTGCGTTTAAACGCACTAACAAATATTTCTTTCTCTGATCTGGCCTCGACTGGCTTCCGTACAAAAGTAAAAAAAAAAAATTACAATTTTGAAACAGAGCAAACATAGACCATTAAAACATCAGAGGTAAATCAGGTGCAATGGAGAAGTAAGCATCCCCTGTCGACCAGTCTCGCCGGCAGTATGCCCTTTGTTATTATAAGGTAAACGGGAAAAGATAAGATTTTATTAAATCTAGAAAGAAAGAAAAAAAACTACTACACGTCCATAGAATTTTAGCGTCTAATTTCATGCTTCTCAATTATTCTATAATGCTCCCTTTACCCTAACAAAAATTCATTATAGTTAAGTATAAAGAGGATATTCAATGTTTTGTAGATGAATATGCTTCGCACTCTTGAAAATGTAAATCAAAATCCTGTCCCACTCGTGAAATAAATTCCATATTCATCTTCAAAACATTGAATTTTCTGTTTATAACATTTTCTTGGGAATTTGGGAAGGAAAATCAAGAGTTTTGTCGCACTTCTGATATTCTCACACTGTGAGAATACCATTTTGATATCCTTTCACACTGTGTCAGAATATTACTTTTATTCAATAAATAAATTACAGTATTTGTTGAAAATGTAATAAATAATATATATGTCACATGTAACTATTTAAGGAATAACTGTCTTATTTTTTGGATTCATGATGTGATTAATCGAGTGGCTTGCGTGATAATTTGCATAAACGCCGAAGGCGTTTATGCATAAAATTATCACGCAAGCCAATCGATTGATCATCGTCATGAATCCAAAAAATCTGAGTTATTCCTTATATTTACATGCCCCTGATTCTGCAAATTCCAGTGCTAATAGCCCCGCTTCTCTCTCTATTTGTCCCGCCCCGCACGTGATTTTTTTTTAACCGCGCCTATCGATGAACCAGTAGATTTATGTAGAAATAAAGTATTTTTACAATTTGTAATTTTATCTCGGACAAAGACATTGGAAATGTAAATATAGTTATATCAAAGTTGTCTCAAACTCTTAACTATAGTGAATAAAAGTACTTTTCAGATTTGAAATTTGTGGATTTCAGATTGTAATATTTTATGTTCTATAGTTCATACATATATATTTGTTATATCAAATAGAAATATTACTTGAATATTAACATATTAATTACAAATTACACATCATTGTTATTGAATTTAAAAGATTTTAAACATTTAAAATCTCAAAAAAATGTTCTAAACTAAGGTAAAGTTTCATAGTAAACTATAGTTTACTATAGTAAATTTTGTAAGGGTAATACCAATAACGGTATACATTTTACATTCCAAATTAGTTGTCAACAGATTACATATACCTCTCAAATCATCTTGTAGAGTTGGATCAAATACCCCAACCTCCATTGGGTTTGGAAATATATTGAAGTAAACTTCTGATGCAGACGATGTTTTGCTTGAAAAATGAATTTCCTCTCCACTTAGCCAGCCAATGAAATCCTAAAAATCATTTAAATGAGATTGGTTTCTTAATTACTATTTTTATTTTTGCTTCAAAATCTACAACATATTATTAACTTCTACTGCATGTATTCATCTACTCGTAATATTCTGTACGCATTTAAACAGTTTTTGAACTTTAAAATATTGAATCATCTCATTACGCATCAGTACATAATGCTGGCTTACAAAAAATATTTTCCAATAATTTAATTATTTCAAACATACGATATTAAACATGTATGGATGATAAAAAATCTCTAAAATAAATAATTAAAACATGGTTTTCCTAGACATATATACGTTTTTTCTTTTAAAGAAAACTTGTCAAGAACCTGGTAAATAAACAGATCTGTTGCACGAGAGGCTATGATATGACTTTTAATGTCTGTCCCGTTGGGCAGTGAACTTTTTACGAGTAGGCCACTCTCCAGCCAAAATAGCCTAAAACAGCAAAAGAAATGTTCTTATTACAAGTATTGTTCATGTATTAAGAAATGAAAAAATATTCTAGATGAAGCATTTTTAATTTCTCATGATTTTCTAATCTCCTAATAGAATTTTCCCGCCTCTGGGTATATGTAGCAAGGAACACAATGTTCCATTAGTGAAGCAAAAATTCAAATATATGAACTTCCGATAAATGAATTTGATTGTTACCAGCAAGTATACATTTCCACTCACTTAACCTTATTAGTTAATTACAAATATTATTTACTTATAATTAAAATGTATATATATTTCTTATATATGATGTGTCTAAAAATAAAAAAAAATCATAATGAAAGTTTTAAGGGTACAGTTTCAGGCAATACCTTTGACTTGTAGTGTCATATTTAAGGAACATCGGGTCATCTAAGTCAGATATAATGGTTTTTGGAGGTTTTCTGTACCAGGTTCCTCGCATTATAGAGTATGTAGTAGTTGAGATCCAGAATATCTCACTGTAGAAATAATGATGAATACTTTTTATAAAGAAAAAAAAAACAAGAATACTGTATTATACTTTGGTGGTGAAGTTTTAGAACTGAAAGTTTGTATAAGGTCATATACGCTGTGTAGCATCACAGATTTTCGTGCATGGTGTTTTGAGTCACAGGATAATTTTATAATAGAACTTAAAATGAAAATAAAAAATAACTTTATAAAGAAATACAATCGAACACATAGAAATTAAAGCATAAACAGCTTTAATCCAATCATATATATGTTTTCATAAACCCCAATACAAAGTTTCTTCAATAAACCTATACAGATAAAGAAACAATGGATATGTTCAACTTAGTGAGTTAATTAATATTAATAAATAGTTGTTACAAACCCATTAATTGCGTCAATCGTAAGTGATATGGGTTGCTGAAGGTTGGTGTAAACTGTTGAAGCAGTTCCGTTGTTAAGAGAAAAAGTTCTAATTGAAGACTGGTTAGGTTCAATCCAACCAAGCAAATTAGAAATCCAATCATAATTTAGATCTAAAAGGAAAAAAAAGAGAAATGGTTGTGGCTTTACATGACATTTCCAGCGCTATCGAGAGATATGGAAATGCAAAAATCCCCGTTAGTGCATCATTTTAATACCAAAAGTTTCTTAGGTGCGCAAAAGAGCAATAAAGAAATATCATTCCAACAAGTAGCAAGACCCTTGAAAAAGACTTTATAAATTGCATAAAAGCAGTTTTATATATATTTTCTTCTTTCCTTAAATCAGTTCCTTTGTTCCTGCTTCGACATCATGTTAAGAAGACCTTCTTATCGAAAAACACCTTCATTCTAAATTTCCTTTATGTGAAAACTCAATTTAATATTTTAGCATACCTGTTACGGGATTAGTAGAAAGAAGAGTTGAATAACGTTTCGTAAAAATGTCTAGTGTGTATATTTCATTCCTTTTGGCGTCAGCGAAGTAAATCATTCTTGATTTTGCGTTCATGGCAAACGTTGTCATTATTGCTGTAGGAATCTGAAAATATGGAACCCTCTCTGCTTGCCCGTTTAATGCTCTGGTATCCAACATATAAAACACAGTGGCATTATTTACGATGATTCCCTTGTCATAAAACCAGGATCTCTCTGAAATAAAAGTATAAATGACACAGACCAACAATAACATTTATAATACACAATATATAAATTGAAGAAATTGCATTTTTTGTGAAGGGTGGGGATGGGGGTGTCACAAATGTGTTTGACATATATGTATTTATAATTATACGTTACATACCAATGCAAGAAGAACTATCAGTTCCAAGTACATATCCTTCAGCACAGAGGCATTTAGGACCTGATGGAGTGTTGACACAGATGTGCTGGCAATACTGAAGAAAACATGGATCTAAAGAAGAAGTAAGTGAAATGCATTACCGACTTATTATATTTACCATAGAAACATTCAGATCTCAATATCTCATTAAGGAAAAAAGGAAATTCACTGTTTATGGTTATTTGTAAATGATTTATCTGTATAGAATATTCATTGATGACCGACAAGACAATCACAAACTTACAGGGTACCAGGAAACAGTCAAACTACTCAATATACACGTAATAAGATAAAATATCGAAACATTATCAACTTTATAATTAATTTGAATTTTTGAATATATATAATTGACGTAGCTACCATTCAGAGTTTTGTTGGTTTCCCCATCATAAATGGCTAGAGTAAATGGATCGCCGATTTTTAATGAAACATCATACAAAACTTCTCCTGAAGTAACGTCAATACCCACAAGCTTTCTTCTACTAAAGCTAACACTGTGTATCACATTCTGTCAATAGATAATCTCATGACTGTACCAATACGCTTCCATACTATCAAATTTTACAACATTTTTGTAATAATATCAGAACAAGGGAGAATGCAACAATTCATGAATCCAATTTTTTCTCGAATTTTTATTCACCCCAGAAATAAAACAATACCTCAAAGTACTGTATCCCGGTGAGAGGTATATCAATCATACGTCTCAGAACTCTTCTGTTGGACCCATCATAATCACAAACCTCCACTGTTTCTCGACCAAAGTCAGCCCAATACAGCAGGTTATTTTCAGTGTCCGTGGAAAGGGACATTACTCTTAACAAACTACTGTATATGACAACAGATCTTTTCTCTCCATCTAAGGATGCTTTTTCTATTCGACCATTCGGTGAGTTCTCGGAAAAGAATAGCAATCTAGCATACAAGATGATAAAAGCTAAAGGCATACGTATTTTTGTTAGATGTGGTATGTATAAGAGACATAATGCCAACCTTAAATTACACTAACCCAAGAAATATTTCCCTATACCTTAATATTTTTTGTTACCATAATGAATGTTACTCTCATGGACAAGCAGTCCTAATCACCCTCCTGTCATCAAAAAGAACTAGTTTTATCATATACATGTACTTGTTGATATCAATAAATTAAAAAAAAAAAACAATTAAAAAGAGTACGTTTTATTCAAAACATTTTTGGCACATAATGATAACCTTTGTTGTCGGATAAACATATATCCAAATTCATACGTCTTTGTATTATTAAACGCATGCCCATCCTCATGTAAGTATAAAGAAATTCATTCCAATAATCATGGTGATATGAACAATTACCCATCCGTCTCCTCGTTGACACTTATAATCTCAAACCCATCTTCATATTAGTTATCATAATTACATACCCATCTTCAGGGTCCAGTGCCAAGCCCTCTGGCTGCTCCAAGTGTTTATCAATTATAATTTTGTACATTGTATTTGTATTGTTCATATCCAGAGATTTCATAGCTATCCAGTTGAGAAATCCATCGCACCAATATAGATTGTTTGATAGATGATCAAATGCAATCTGGCCAAAAGCATACGACTTTCCACTGAATACCAATGAAAAGGTTAAAGATTCATTCTGCCAAATACTGTAATTGTTAACTGCATAGATTTCCCTTCCGGCGGATAAGAATAAGAGTTTATTCCTAGGATCAGCTGCAATGCTTGTGATCTGTGTGTTGATTGGTGTCAACTCAAATGGGATCGTGGTAAAGTGATCCGATCCTAATGTTGGTATTTTTGTAATAGTAGACAGTGAAGCATTATTCCACACTCCCAGAACGATCCCTCTATCGTCAGCTATACAGGTACCTTTCAGATAATTTATATTGATGCATATTAAAGTTAAAAATACACGTAATATACCTAGTTGTTTTACTATCAGTACCAATAAAAAAAATCGCAGAAATTTGTTTTTCCTAAAAAGTAAATAAAACGAATCGAATTATCAAACAAATTAAATTTTTTGACGATCTGTAGTTATCGAAACTTTTATTTGTCATTTGGTTTAACTATTGAAATGATATCTACATACTACTTAAATACTTTAAATTTTGCTTAAAATCACCACTTCTTTTTTCCAAAAATACATAAAAAATACTTTCTCTTAATCCATTGATTTATTTCTAAATTCAAATTCAAAGTCATATTTATAAATGACATTTAAATATATTTCTTTCTGTCTTACTGACTTATTTCTCAATTATTTCACTAAATTAAAAAAGAAAATAGTTTTCCAAATAATGAAACATACTATTCTAACTTACATTGGCCTCGAAATTCATGTAGCAAGTAAACATACATAAGCAAACATCTGAACGCCATTGCCTTGTTTGTTACTTTACTAAATGATCGCCAGTGACAAGACAACGTAGATAACTATTTTTATCGTGAAAATGTGTGTGTAATAATTTTTGTTATTGTAAAATGTGATGAACATCAAACGAAGTTTATTTGTCCATTATTAGTGGGTTAATTTATGTAAAAAGCTTTCGATGACAATCACTTTCAGTTTGAATGAGGTTAAAGTAAATCAATGCTAATTTTTTTTTAGTAAAGAATGTAAGGGGGTATATTTACATACAACTTTGTGAAAAGTTATTAATAACCAAGACAAGTATTTGAAATTTCTAAAATAGGTGGTAGTGCTTAAGGTATTCAATGTACAATGAAGGGATATTGAAAAATTCATACTTGACTGATTACACACGAGGCGGTCATTTTGCACTATAAATGTATTTGAAGAGTTATCTACCCTTAGCTAAAAGAAGAAAATTTTAATTTTGTAAAGATATCTGTGGAAAATTCATTTTATTTCATATTTTAATTAAGAGAGTGTTCATGCATATTTTTCATCAAGAGATTGGTATGAAGTTCAAATTACTTTTTACAATATCTTACTATTACATGCGCTGCCCGAAGATTTCAATGTAAACTAATTGGACAATCATCAAAATTAAGTAAATTCCCTTTGTGGAGTATATTTATTTTATACACTTTCAAAATTCTATCATGGTTAAAAATATCGGACCATTAAATTATTATGTATAAAATATGGTCGTTATACATTTGTTACCTTAAACAACTTTATTTAGAGTGAAAGAATATCTGAAAAGGTGCTGAAAGTCTGAAACTATAGGTAATAATTAGAACTCTACAAAAAGGTGTTCTTTTTAAAATAACTAAATTATTGTATTTTTATACATGTATATGCCTAATCCACTTCATCGTCCTTTTTGACTAATAACTTTAGATTTTTTTTCTGAAAAGAATGTCTAAAACAATTTTTTGTCATAAAAAAGATATTTTATTTCTAATATAAATGTTCCTATAATTAGACAATTAAAATAAATCGCCAATGTCTGAAATAGGGAACAAATTCAATGAATCTTATAGTATATATATTTTTCTGCTTTCTCTGTTAAAACAAATATCATTGAGGCCTAAATCAAATCTTTTAAGATGTTTTGATCAGTATATTTGATTGGTTTCAGCGCCCATGGTTCACTTTGATCAGATAACAATATGTTCCTCTGGCACATCTAAAAAAGATAAATTTAGTTCAATCCAGATCTGTGTGGAATACAGTGACATCTTTTCTGATGACATTCGTGACTATGTATAAATGTTTTAATGAATAAAAAGTATAACAGCAACATAACTTAATTTTGCATTTATATAAAGTTTTGTCATCCTTGTTTGATAACAAAGCGTCTGGAATTTTTGATAGTAATTAGGAAATATTACACGGTTTCAGCAATATAGTTTGACTATTTGACTCCTAATTTTTATTTATTTTATTACAACAATACTCGTATATATTAGACTTTCATGTAAATTAGTTGAATCTGATTCGTCAGGAAACATTTAATTTAAAAAAAAAAAACCACTTTTACCATTTGAATAATGAAGCCACGCCTTCCAACATAGCAACAGTTGAAATTGAATGACGATGGGTGCCATTCCAAAAAAATATTGACTGCGCAGAATTTATGCGCGCAAGGTAATATGTATTTTAAAATAACATTTAGTATGATATGATTAATACTGCATGTAGTTGAGTGTAACTTTGAAAATGTTCACCTCTCGAAATCCATTGTCGATCTCGGCTGCGCCTTGGTTGACAATGGTTTTCTTTGGGTGAAAATGTTCAATGTTACACTCAACTACATGTAGTATTTATAATAACTTTGTGTGTTTATGAAGGATTGTATTATCCTAAGAGAGAGTAACACAATGCAAATAAAGCGTACAGTGACTGTATTATCCTAAAAGAGGGTAACACATTGCCAGACAATGCATACAGTGACTGTATTATCCTAAAAGAGAGTAACACAATGCAAATAAAAGCGTACAGTGACTGTATTATCCTATGAGAGAGAGAGAGTAACACAATACAAAACATACAGTAGCTGTATTATCCTAAAAGAAAGTAACATTATGTAAAACAAAGCATACAGTGATCGTATCTTAAAAAAAAGACTAACAAAACGCGAAATAAAGCACACAGTGATTGTAGTTTCCTATTGATCGATTGATTGTATGTTCTTTTACGTCCCATTCGAGAATTTTTCACTCATATAGAGACGTCACCGTATACCGGTGAAGGGCTTCAAATTTTGACCTTTACTCGGCACTCAGGGCCATTGAGCAGTGAGGGATCTCTATCGTGCTAACGCCTGTAGTGACACGGGGCCTCGGTTTTTAAGGTCTCATCCGAAGGACCTGCAACTTTCACTTCAAAGTGCCGAGCGCTTGTCGAAGGAACAGTTGCTGCCCATTTTTTTTATCGCCTTCGTTCAGCCGCGGCCGAGATTCGAACTCACGACGTCCCGATCACGGAGCGAGCGCTCTAGCTACCTACTGAGCTACCGTGAACGGTGATTGTAGTATCCTAAAAAAGTAACACATTGCTAAACAAAGCATACAGTGACTGTATTATCCTAAAAGAGAGTAACACTACGCGAAACAAAGCATACAGTGACTGCATTTTCCTAAAAGAGAGTAACACAATGCAAAACAAAGCATACAGTGACGATATTATCATATTGATTAATATTATGTCACCCCAACCGAAGTAACGATGATATATTGATATTGTTGCAAATACAGTTTTGTCTGGAAATATTCTTGCAGATACCTTGGACAAGCTTAATTAAACTGATTTATTGAAATATTGCTTACTGCAATTCATAGAATGGAATACATTGAATATTGAATAATTGATTGATGAAAGAACGAGTGCACTAATGGGCCCCGGAAAAATGTGGGAAAAAATGAAGAATCAAATTAAGCACAATTTTTCATCTCATATCATTAACTGAATTCTAAACCATAAGATTCAACAAATTTTATCATAAATATACAAAGAGCAAAGCCATACAATGTGGTAGGGGTCAGCCGACATTCGCGATTTTCTATAGTAAATCAAGAACGGTCATTCATTTCAAAGCTTTTGTTTACTGTCAGCCTAACGTTGTACAAACTTGTGCGAATGACAAAAGACGCATTATACAATTGTAAAACTTGTGTTAAAGTAGGAAATTTGTACAAGATTAGGCTGGTACTTAAAATATTAAAAATGTATGAAATTAAAGTTCAATGTTGTTCCAAAAGCAAGCGAGAGCTATTTACCTGTATGACCTATGCTGAACCCACCTGTGGAATAAATTATTTAAAATACCGGTCGTCACGTGAGTTCTACCCAGGAAAACATTCTTAAAAGGTGCTCACTGTAAAACATAGCCACGTTTTGTATCATTATATCAATGCAAAGTCGTGCCGCTTAGAGATGTTGGTATGTATTTGGATTTAGGAACACGAGAGGGTTAGGAGAGTTTAGTGTTGTTAAAATATCATCATACATAAAAGTATCCACCATTTTTAACATTCATGCAAGATAATGGTACCGATATTGAAAGCCACCTAAATACACTTTTTTCATTTTAATTTAAAGGAACTAATGTCAATACTCATTGTATTATTTCAAATGCAAGCGTGCACATTTCTTAGTGTGATCACTATGGCTACAGGCCTCTATACAACTTCATTCGATTTTTTTCACAGGTAAAATAGCGCAAGAAGTATCATTCGGCAAACGCGCCCGTCAATGATCCACCATAAGATTGTTCAAGTATCGATTTAAATGTCTCCTCCCCTTCATTTAAATAAACGAAACTCAAAATAAGTTTGGTACGACTTTTCCGGATTCGGGGTATCTATAGGCATTTAAAAATCTTCATCTGTTTCAAACCCATGCTGATTTAGGTGATGTTTTAACGTGACTTCAATTAGAAATATCCACTTGTTTTTAACTAGTACCAAAAAGTAAAAGGGCACTGAAAAAGGGCCCATTACGCATTGCTTAAGTGCACTTGTCCTTTCATTATTAAAAATCGATTGCCTTATGAACTCCACGAAAGGCTGGCGCGCCTACTTAATTGATTTTATTTCATAAAACTTGTATAAAATGTGCATGAATAATAGTATATAAATATTGCATGTAGTTGAGTTAACGTTAACAAATTTCACCCCAAGAAAACCCTAAAACCCTCGTCAAACAAGGCAAAGCAAAGTTTAACAATGTTTTTCTTAGGGTGTTTTTTTCAATGTTACCCTCAGCTACATGCCGTATTTGTTATACTGAATATTTCATACAAATAGATATAGCCGTAAGTGCATAAATTCTGCGCAGTTGATATATATTTTAAGTACCACCCGTTGTAAAGCAATGTTGACTATTGCTACGCTGGAGAGCGTGGTTTCATCAATCAGAGGGTAAAACTGCTTTTTGAACAAATGTTTCTCGACAATCAGATTCAATTTATCTACATGAAAGTATAATATAATTGATTGTTTGTTTAATTGCCATTGACTGATTGCTTTGTTTTTAGCCGTGCCAAAAACTAACTAGGTCGGTACCCACTGAACACATGAATATTTAAATAGTTTGCTTAATTGGAACCAGTCGCGGCCATTAAATGCCAAACGCAATAAATAAATAATTTAGAAACGATAAAATCACACTTGTTTTATACACGTTATATGTAGTCTTACTCATCTGACTAACGACAATCGGTTTTCATAAGAAATTACAAAGAAAATATTGAGTGGATGAAATATTGAGATAACGAACATTATTCAAGTTCAAAGTCCATTAAAGCAATACAAATCGGGAGCAGAGCAAATACGGACTTCCAAAATACATCAGAAGTGGTGTCAGGTACCATGGGGGAGTGAGCATCCCCTGCCAATCGGTGTTCCTTGTCGTGATCAGAAAATAACGGGAAAAATCCGTCGACAATTCAGTTTGTAAATAATGGCATAACAATTACAATGGAAAAACATTAGTCAGCATATGACTTAATGATAGACTGTACATGTATTTGCTGACAAAGTCATTGTATCGACCATAGAACTTACGAATCGATGACTTTAAACAAGACTGTTGATATTCTTGTTTCATCAACTTGTTTGTCAATAACTTACCTCGTTTCAGAAAATGTTCATACGTAGAGCATGCTCTTGCGTATCGAATCAACTCAGAGATATACACAACATGTGCAGGTGATAAGGGTATATTGCTGCACAAGTAAGGGAAGCTGACCATTGAAAAATTAAAGTCATCACGTTTATCACATAGCTTTGTTGTTAGATTGCCATTAACGTCTTTTCTAGTAAAATATCTAACTATGAAACAAATGTGTCAGACTTGTGGTATCTTATTTCAAGATCACTTGAATATATCGTGTCGACATATGAATGTAAATAATTATTGTTAATTGATAATACGTCGGTTATGTATATTTAAATTTTGAGTTGAAAGCCACAGCAAGAGATTTCTTTTTGTCGTGTATAAGATTTTTAATAAATTCTGCTTCATATGAAAAACAAAAATAGGTCTGCTAACAACGGGGTGCAATTGGTACCTATGGCTATTCAAACAGATTGTTGGAAGTCCTAGTCTCCAAAAACAATATAGATATTGTCAATCAGAAACTCAAGCAAAATTTTAATATCAACTTCAGAGTACTTGTGCGTACAATCAGAATGTTTTAACGAAATAAGTTTGCAAATGATCAATGACAAGGTAAGTAAATTTACGAGTTTCATTTTTATTGTATGCAAATATCAATTGTTAAGTGACTTTTCAAATACTCTAGAAGTTTTATAAAAGAAATGTTTTACAAATATTATTATCTGCAGAAAGTCCATTGCTTCTAATGAGTAGTATATTTTAGTAACTTAACACAGATATCCGATACATGTAATTTAAATGTTTCTCATAATCTTTAATAGAGTTGTCATAAATTGTAATATTTTCAACAGGTTCTTGTTGCTCTGTTGTATTACTGCAAGTTAATTGTCCAGGATTTCTGATTTCCGAATAACTGTATCCATCTGCACAGGTGATATCTCGTAATTATATCTACAAAATCAAAAAGGTTAATTCAGATTTTGAAACAAGATCTAAAAATAACCAGTTACATTTGTAATCAAAATTATAAGCAGTAGATGTTTTTCTCTGCTTTACCTGTGGCCAATTAAAGTCTACATATATGTTTCATCATCACATTTTTTTTCTATTTTTATATTAAATCTCAGAAACAAATTTCTCAAATAAGCAGAACCTTACATTGTATTTCTCCAATAAAGGCATAGAGTATCTTTACATAATAAGAGATTTCACATGTACATGTATACAAACAAGGTCACACTCCCTTAGATCAAACCTTTTTTGTTCACTTGAGCAAAGGGCTCAAGTGAGATTTTATGATCAAAGGCCCAGCAAATCGTTTTTCTCATTTTATTTCCGAAATGCTAATTTTGACGTCATAAACTTGTGCATTTTCCCGTATTTTCTTAAAAAGTTGCAGGACATCAATTTTCAATAACATTTTCTTTCAGATAATATAAACCGCATGCATCGCCCACAAAGATTTTTAGAAATGTGATTTTTCAAAGAATTTTACAAAACATTTCCGGATATTGAAACGGGCACATATATGGACTCCATTTTCTCAAGGAAAATACCCCCTGAAATGAGTCATTTTGAGCCTTTTTTCTGCTTAAAACTTAAAAAATACAAAATTAATGACGTCGGATTTGCAGAATGGTAATTCTTCACGCCATTTTCTTTCATGAATTATTGAACTCATATACTCAACTCATATTTATGCCAATTTCAAAACTTTTTGAAAACATATTTTTTAGGGCACAATAAAGCCAAAGCAATCACCTAGATGCATTTTTTCGTCTAAGGAAACGTGTCATCACAAGTGCTGAAACGAAAAAAATTACTGTGATAACTGCGACTGATGATCCAATGTAGACATACATTTCATTGTCTTCTTCAGTGTTGTGTTTTGAGGATATGTTTTCTATGCAAAAAAATGAAAAGAATTTCAAAATGAAAAAAAAAATCGTTAAAATTAGAGATCAGAGATGAGTTTAAAAACTGTTCTTTTACATTATTTGACAAATTTTTCTTAACCAAACTCTCTTTCTCTCTTCACACACAATGGAATGATCTGGATAATGAATTATAATGAAGTCAAAGGTCTTGGTTCTAAATAAAGTTTAGGCAATTAATATGTTAAAATATTCAAGTCCGATTTTCCTCTGTCTATTTTTCTAATTTTTAACAATTCTTAATCTAATATATATACTATCAAACACTGAATGATGAGCTCTAAATTATTTTCAACCCCAGTTTAGATCAATTGTCCTATTCTGCTGGTTACAAAATTCTGTAAGATTACTGATCATTTTTTAAAATATACTGTCTTGAATGGATTTTGTTCATATTTTTCATTTTCTTCATTGCATGTCTTCCAATTATATATGATTTATGTATTTTATTATATATGATAAAACACGAGCTTTAACAAACATGATATATGCAAACATTACAGAAAAAAATAGAAACTACATTTTTAGGATAATATTCTTAGAAAAAAAAATTATGTCGAAAAATAAAAATTAAAGTGATGGGGACAAAGGTAAGGGAATGAACTATACAAGTGTTGTTATTTTAATTTTGAACGTTTAATCATTTCTAAGATATCAAAATTATATTAACTGTCTATAATCAGAAATTGCGCTGAATTTTGAATATGCCAAAATATGTTCATATACATTGATGTCATCCAACTTAGTTATTTTATACAAGTGACGTACTGATAAGAGTAATTAATATTTAAAAGCAAAAAAATCGAAGTAAAAAAAAAAAACTCTACGATTAGCAAAGGTTAAAAGAAATAGGGCAAACATGATAAAATATCTTACCTTGAGAGGAATTAGTAGATGTTGTTGGTGTTATGACCTCTGTCGTTGTTGATTCTAAGGTTGTTGGCAGTGTGGTGTTTTCCGTTATTGTTGGTATTAGTGATGTAATACTTCGTGATGTTGTTGCTTCACTGGTGGTTGTTGTTGATGCAGTTGTTGATCCAGCTGTTGTTGACTGTGTTGTACTTTTCGTTGTTGCTGACTCTGTGGTCAATAGAGTGGTGCTCTCTGTGTTTCCTGACGTTGAGTCTTATGTGAACAAAATGCAACTCAGTATATAAAACATTTTTGTTTAATTTGTTTTATTTATCAGAAGAGCAGTTCTGAATCTCCATTAATGAAGATACAACCATGAATAATGCTGATGAAGAATCATAGCGTATATGATTTATTTATTTATTCATTCATTTATTTATTTATTACCTTTTTTCATAATACTGATAATTTATCAATACCATTATGAAAAATTGAAAAACAGTACTGCAGATTTCATAGATTCAAAGTTAACTATTTTACCATGTTGGACACTAGATCTAAACCCACGTGCTGGGCATCCGGAGTCAGATATAATGATCCCGTGATTCTATACGTCATATTTAGAGATAAAACAGGGTTATTTTGTGCTGTAACAAACATACGCTTTAACAGACATAATTGATGCAAACGGTACAGAAAAATAACATAGAAATTTAAATTTTAGGATAATATTCTAAGGAAAAAAACTTATGTGAAAAATTAAAATTAAAGTGATAGGGATCAAGATAAGTGAATGCACTATATAGGTGTAGTTATTCTAATTTTGAACGTTTAATCATTATTAAGATAGCAAAATTATGTTTTTATTTAACAAATTGCAGTGAAACAGATTCCATAAATTCCGATAAAGCTAAACATTCTATGATCAAATTTTGCGCTGAATTTTGAATATGCCAAAATATGTTCATAGAAATTGGTGCCGTCCAACTTAGTTATTCTATGCGGGTTACGTACTGATAAGAGGAATAAATATTTAAGGTTTCTGGTAGAGACGGATAGCAATCACGTGATAGATATACTTCGTATATTTAGAACGTGCTGTTTTTCCAGATTCTGTAACGCCGCCTTATAATAATCCCCATTTATACAGAGGTTTTGATCGTATACCATGCATAGTACGACAGAGTAACAAGACTGTTTAGTAGACCATTGATAATTTTACTTTTCATGGTTTAATTTTCTTTTTTCCAGATTGTTGATGTACTGCATCCAGGCGACGCCACACTGTAATAATCATAATATAAGTATTTTTATAGGCCCCTTCTTTCAAAAAGAATTTCTCTACAACAGCGATATCATAAACAATGTTAAAGAATTTGAATTGAATACCTGGGTATTTTGTTCCGTTTTGTTCCCTTAAAATTGTTGAACCATATTTAGAATTTAAAAGTTGTTCACCATCATATATAGTTATGATGTGATGAGATATTCCTCTATTATATAGTAAATGTATTCCAGAATGATTTCATATTGGGTAAAATAATTGTTCTTTGGTTATATATATACATGTATATATATGCATACATACACATACATACAAACACACACACACACACACACACATAAAATTTCAAGTCAATTTTTAGTTCTGAAAAAGTTTATATCTTTTGAATGTAAGAGCAAAAAGGTCAACCAGGACAACATACAGTACCGACCAGACACAACCTAACAGAAAGCGAACCCAGAGCGCACCCCGGGTTCGCTCTCTGGGTTCGCTTCGGGTTCGCTTGGGGTCCGCTAGTGCTGACCCCGAGCGAACCCGGAGCGCACCCGTAGCGAACCCGCAGCGAACCCAAAGCGGACCCAGAGCGAACGCTGAAAGCGAACCCCAAATTCAGTAGCGGTCCCAGAAAGCGAACGCGCGTTCGGTATTGCGTAACAGAGCTGTCAATCAGGATTATCGATTAACTCATCAGCGCTTCGACCAATCAACATGCCGAACAGGTCTGTCAATCAGGATAAGTGATAAAATGCGTTTACCATCAGCGCATCGACCAGTCAACATGATAGTTTATAATCTAAACATTGTACAAGCAAAGCGTGTGAATGTACAGTGTAAAAATATTATTAATATGATTTTTAAACATGATTTTACATTTATATATTTTAATTCTCCAGACAACATGCAATATTTACACATCTATTTTCATTATTTTTTAGTTTTAAAATCTATTGATACATTATATATTTTTATTATCCAGGTAGCATATTACATGTATAGTTAAATATTTATTTTCTTTATATTTTTATAATCCATTAATATATAAATATACATTGCGTAAGCTTATCAGACAATAAGTACTTTAATTTATAATAGAAAAAAAGAAGATAATAATGGTTATAACATATGTTACTTAAAAAAAAGAAGAAAAAAAATGGTCTTCGATAAATTATAGAATTTTATTATCTCAAGATACAGTATAAGAACATTTATTTAGTATAGGAATAGTTAGTATAAGAACATGTACGTGCTTTAATTCAATTATTTTTTATCAATTATTTCAATTTACATGCACGTTTTAATTTATCCAGATCAACTTCGAAATTATCGATCTTAATAATTGATCATGAAAAAAAAAATAAATGTACATTGTACAGAATAAATGTGCATTATGTCAATACGTAAATTGGAGAAAGAAAATCTCATTTAACTACTATGATATTTTTTTTGATTAATCTTTTACCAAAATTTGATAAATAGCTTGATTTAAATACATGTATATAGGGAAAGATTATTTTGTCAATTTTAATTATCCTACATGTAGACCTTACATTGTATGTTTTTTGAATTTTTGTAACTACTTGCAAGTCAGCCAAAAAAAAAAAAAAAACAAAAACAAAAAACAAAACAAAAACAAAAAAAACAAAAAAAAAAACAAAAACAAAAAAAAACGCAAAAATGCTTATCACTTTCCTTCGCGTCGATATCTATAATTTTACAGGTTTACATGTTCATGAACCTCTTACATGTACTACATGTAGTTTTCGAAATACTTTATATTAACATAAAAAATATACTAGACGGGTACGTTTTGTACTTGTGCATGAAAAGTACACGTAATTCCAACATTAGTAAATTGAACTTGCAAAGATACCTTAATACGAAAACGTACATATATTTTTTCATTACATAGGTACCTGTATTTGAACTTTGTAATTGTCATAATTATTTAATTTCAACACTTTAATAATTGTTGCTTCAAAGTGAAGCCAAGGTCATCACGTATCGGTAATCATCCACCTGTTTCGAAAATATTACGGGTATTAAGAGCAATTGCGGTGGTTTTTCTTAAATTGACACTTGCTAACTGAATGTATAGTGTCTCCATGGTCACGGTATACCTGAGTATATACTCCCCCCTACATTCGATGCCCCTTAATTAAGTTACATGTACCTCGTCTGGGCACGTTATAAATGAGAAATTCAATTATTATTCTTTTTTTTTTTTGAATTTGGAAACGTCATACAGTGTAGTTCTTTGGTAGGTGGCAGCAAATTACATGCATTGAACATGTACTCTTAATGCAAAGTGTATGCTGAAAATCAGTAAAATAGCTTTACGAGAGAGAGAGAGAGAGAGAGAGAGAGAGAGAGAGAGAGAGAGAGAGAGAGAGAGAGAGAACACTGTATATTATTTGAAATTAAAATCACTACAACCGTGCCATAGAAAACAGTTCAAGTACGGAGAGGGGTGGGGGGCTCATCGAAATAAAACAATAATAATTAAAAAAAAAAGAAAAAACATCGGGTGCTATTATCTTAATTTCATCTACTTAATCATGCGAGTTTACAGTTATTGAATTCTTGCTTTGTTTGTTTTCTTTCTTGTATTTATTTATTTTTAAACATTTAGAATTTTGTTTGTTAACATGCCGCTCCAGTATGTACATGTATGTAGTGGGGCGGGGGGGGGGGGGGGGTCATGAACCAGTAAGGAACACAAACTATTCAAGTGATCATTTACATGTATTTGAAAACAACTTAAAAATATATATATTCTTATCAGTGGACCAGTTATTAGTATTTGTTTGTTTGTTTTTGTTTTTTTTATTGTTGTTGTTGTTGGTTTCTTTTTTTATAAGTCTTCAGTTAAACTCGCCTTATAAAACAATGATTTATAGCATGGAAGTAAATTATAAATGATCTATACAACGAAACTCAAGTAACACTGTATGAGAATTTTTAGTGATTATCACGACCTACGTATACATGTAATGGACGACAACCTAGCTTAAATATAAACTGCTAAATATGAAAACTTAGCATTTTACGTGCACAGTATGTCACAGCTATTATATAGATAAGATCGTAATTCAGTTGTTTGTCTTTCAAACATTTAAATTACGATTTAGCAATTGCAATTACAATTGGAAGTTCCAACTTATTTAAAAACGCATGAATAATATAAACAAATGAATTTGAAAGCTTTTTTTATTAAGATACTCTTATCAATTTCACTCCATCCGATACATCGAAAATAAATTTAACACCTTTTCTTTTTTTTTTCTTTCGAGATATACTTAGCTTGTAAGTTAAGAAAAATAAAAATGATAATTCTACGTCGAATGTACGGTGGAATTCTTGAAATATTATCAACGTTCTCCATATTGTCACTTACATGTACATGTTTCGATCGCCATAAAAACAGTATGATCGATTTCACTACTATATTTGGAATATACAAGGGGCGGGGCTTACTGGCGGCAAGATTAAAGCGGGGTCCGCTTCACGCATGAGTGCGTAAAACGAACCCAGAAAGCGAACGCCGGGTTCGCTCTAGCGGACCCAGAGCTGACCCCGAGCGAACGCAGAGCGAACCCGAAGCGCACCCAGAGCGGTCCCAAATTTTCTGAAAGCGAACCCGCAGCGGACCCCGAGCGAACCCAGGAAGCGAACCCGGGGTGCGCTTTGGGTTCGCTCTGGTGTTAGGTTGTGTCCGGTCGGTAATGTATGTCTAGAATATGTAACCTTTTACTTTTGTGGTATAAAATATGATTTAGAAGACTTTGTAAAAAAGAATTTACACATTTTCTGCAAACATTTTCTGCAAATATTTTTTGGATGAATTCTGGATTATTATAGTAACCTTATTCTTTAAAAGTGCATCATTTGTAAAGGAAGGGGGTAGGGTAGGTTGTAAGATTATAATCTTTCGCCGGGTTAAAATTATACCCAATTTGTAGAACGATTTTGTCCTGAAATTAAAGGTACTAATTGACAAACTATAATATGTAATAAAAAGAAATATGATGGATAATTAATTCTTTCACAATGGAAGCAGAAGCGTGAGTCTGTGTGAAATGAATAAGCAATATTTCAACAAAATCTGACGATGCATCTTGGTGAATAGAATTCTGTATTTTGCTTATAATGCTTTATTAATTTAAGATTGATGTCAAATATCATTTCATATAGATGGATGTTTGAATTTGTACATGATTATTAATATTACAATAAAAAATTCCCTTTTTTCTATCTTCTTATTTCATCTTTCCAAACTTTTTAAGTTCTTCGGCGGATGATGAGGGTTATGTTACATGTAATATCATCAAATTTCTCTAAAACATGTCGAATAACCTGCTTTGAATTTTTGATATGATTTACAACAAAGAGTCAACACAAACATAATTATATTAAATCCGGAAAATTTTAATGGTTAGATTTTTGGTGAGAACTTATCAATCGCTACCTTAAGAGAAACGAATTCGAATTAATAACTCTACAAAAGAACAAAGGATAAAAGAAAAAGGACAAAGGTGATAAAATATCTTTACCTTGAGACGTGGGAGTAGATGTTGTTGGTGTTATTATCTCTGTCGTTGTTGATTCTGAGGTTGTTGGCAGTGTGGTGTTTTCTGTTATTGTTGGGTTTGGTGAAATAATGCTTCTTGATGTTGTTGCTTCACTGGTTGTTGTTGATACCGTAATTAATTCAGTTGTTTTTGACTGTGTGGTACTTTTCGTTATTGTTGAATCTGTGGTCACTAAAGTGGTGCTCTCTGTGTTTCCTGACGTTGAGTCTGATGTGAATGAAAAGCAACTAAGAATCTAAAACTTTTTTTTTAAACTATGTTTTATTTATCAGAAGAGTAGTTCAGAATCACCATTAATTAAGATACAAGGGTGAATATTGCTGATGAAGAATCATGGCGTATTTGATTTATATTTCTTTTAAATTTTTTTCATAATACAGATAATTTAATAAACCCATTATGACAAATTGCATTACAGTATTGCATATTTCATATATTCAGTTTAGTTAACTAATTTTACCATGTTGGACAATAGCTCTAAACCCATGCGCTGCGTAATCAGAGTCAGATATGAAATGAAGAAACAATGATCCCGTGGTTCTATACGTCTCATTTGGAGATAAAACAGGGTTATTTCGTCCGTAGTCCTTACATATTTCAGCAATGGTGTTCCCATTCATGTCACCTAAGATATTGAGTTGATATAAACCATAAAGTATATCACAAGTTAATCAACCTAGGTGAGTTACTTGTACATGAATGCAATTTTGAAGTTTTTTATTCATAATTTTAACTCAAGGTGTATCCGTAATATAAACATGTTTATTGTAATTCTTGTTCATGTCCAAGCGCCCTTTATGTGGAAAAATTCAGATCTCCTTTATATTAGTATTAAGCTCGTATTTCAATATTTCTCAAATTGTACTTATTTTGAGGAGAGGATTTTTTTCATTTCTTTCTAATTTTTTTCTTCTTAATCAAGACAACTCCATCTTTTTATACATGTTGTATATACATTATTATGCCACCAGTGGTCAAAATATTTTCTAAGCATAGAAAATAAATATTTAATACCTTCCTTTAAGATTATCTTGTCATAACAATCACGATCGTAATCAAGATTGATAAATTGGAAGGAAATTACAAGTCCTTGGCTTATAGGCACTGGTATAAAAGTATAACGGCATTCAATCTGGCTACAAAAAAAAAATATGTACTTGACGTTAAATTATTCAGTGACACATCATAAACTGATAAATATAAAAGAATTACGTAGATATTTAATTTTGATGATAAATAAAAGATAAACAAGCTATGTCAGAGAATTTGTGTCCCCCGCTTAGGGAAAAAAGAAGAGCATGCGCAGTTCGGGGAGGGGTGGGGGGTCACACTGCCCCCTGTATTTGTAGAATTATTAAATGAATACATGTTTATTGAAGCAAATTTGAAAAAAATGCCAATATGGATATAAAGATTTCATTGCTTATTCTTTAATATGTGTATAGAAGATTATTTTTAATATACAGAATATTTAATTTATCACACTGTAATAATGATTTTATGGTTTTGTACACGCCAGACATCATAACTTTTTCATTTCACATGTTGAATAGTATCATTTAGTAAATCAAAAAAAAAAAAAAAAAAAAAAAGAGAGAATCGTCCGGAGATTGAACCACGGAGGCACTTGATTATACAGCAGATGAAATTCAAACATTAACTCACATACGTTTATATTGACGTTTGATATTGTCAAAAGTTTAATCAATACATAGTCTCTAATTAAGCCTTTACTAAACAGTTCTAATAGATGTCATAAGAATATAATGTCCGCCGATAACCTGTATTATACGTAATAACTCTCCACAAGCCCCTGTGCTAAAAATAGTGCCATGCGACTTTTAATACAATATATGTAAATAATAAATATAAAACGGAGCGGGACACTTTGAGAGGGGCGAGAGAGGCCCTAGGGAGTTATGGCATAAAATTTCATTGCAAAAGCTCAAAGGCTTCTTGAGATATCGCCCGGAAACAAAAGTGTTACACACAGACGGGATGTATAAATTCACGACCTTGAACTCTGACCTTTTAACTTCAAAATCAATAGAGGTCTTCCTTAGGCCACAGGGAGTTGTTATGTAAAATTTCATTGCAAAAGCTCAAAGGATTCTCGAGATATCACGTGGAAACGAAAGTGTTAAAACAGACAGAATTTATGAATTTTTTACCTTGACCTTTGACCTTAAAATCAATAGAGTTCTTCTGTAGGCCATAGGGAGTTGCTATGCAAAATTTCATTGCGAAAGCTCAAACGGTTCTCGAGATATCGTGCGGAAACGAAAGCGTTACAGACAGACAGAAATACAGACGGACGGACGGACGGACAGACAGACAGACCCAAATCAATATCCCCCACTTTCAGTGAAAGCGGGGGACAAAAATAATGTCCACCCAATTTATTTACATCTCATACTTGAATTCTGTGAAATATATGGAGACAACGAACAGTATTCAAGCTCAAAAGTCCATTAAACATTACAAAATAGGAGCAGAGCAAACACGGACCTCCAAAACATCAGAGGTGGGATCAGGTGCCACGGAGGAGTGAGCATCCCCTGCCGACCGGTCACACCCGCCGTGTGCTCCTCGTTATGATCGGGGAATAATTGGAATACTTGTGTGTATAATCAGAATGTTTTTGAACAAAATAATTTTGCAAATGACCAATGAAAAGGTAAGTAAAAAACTATATACGGTAAGGGCGTATTCCTGCCCTCATAATAGTCAAATTTTGAAAATCTCTTGAAATGAGCAAAAGTGCATATATTGTATAAAATAATCCAAAGGAAGACAATATATTATGAAATTGGAAAAATTAGTTGGCTTTTCTTGTCTCCGTGACGTCACAAACTATTTGGATTTCCGTTATTTTTAAAATAGAGGCCAAAATGCACAGAGTTTGTTCAAATTTGACTATAGTTTTTATAGAGCGCAAGCTTGCTCAGGTTCCATATTCACATATTTCATTGATATTATCATTCTACACATTATATCAAAATGTCTAGTCTGAGCAGACCTGCGCTCGATAATTTCCAATCAAAATACCGACGTAAAATACACTATTTTCTCTCAATATCATTGCATTTTGGAATTTACGTCATTTTATTGACGTCATATCTAACTAATGATGTCATAGTTGATAAAAATATTTAATGCTTTGAAGTCTGCAAATATCCACCTGGTTTAGAACATAATTAAAGATTTCTCCATCAAAGTTTTATTTTGGGGGCATATACTGGCCACTACAGAATATAGTCCTTTACGAGTTCCATTTTTATTGAAAAAGCAGCTGTCAATGATATCAAAAAGCTGGGACTTTAATTTATCATGGGGAATGGTTGTGTATAAAGTTGAAAAGTATTAAGTTTTTAAGCTGTTGATTTTGGTAAAATCTTGTAATTTCAAATTTTCCAAAAGTTCCTTGGAATTTTTAAGTATCCACATTTGATTTACACCACTTCTGGAATATACTGTTGCACAGTACTCTTGAAGTTTCTCCTTCACTAGTGTTAATATCTTAGTGAGGAGTAAAGAAAGGGGCTTGTGGTACAACACACTGCTACCGTGTTTAATGCTCTTTTGTGCACCACCTTATTTGCTCTAATTTTTTACAATTATGTTTTGTAAGATTTATTGTTAGTTATTGTCTTGAAGATGTACCATAGGCCGCTATGTTTTCTATTGTTTTAACTATGGGTTATCTACACAATAACCCATGGGCGGAGCCTTCATAACCTATAGGCGTCGCCCACGTGGTGCAATGGTTAGAGCGTCTGCTCTAGAGTCGCGAAGTAAGGAGTCGAACCTTACGTCGCAGGTTCGAATCCCACTTTGGGACGTGGAGACCGGTCCTTCGGATGAGACCGTATAAACCGAGGTCCCATGTCGCAGTAGGTGCTGGCACGAAAAAGATCCCTCAATGCTCAATGGCCGTAAGTGCCGAATATAGGACAAATTTGCAGCTCTCCACCGGCAAGTAGTGGCGTCTCCATATGAGTGAAAAATTCTCGAGAGGGACGTTAAAATACATACAAACAAACAAAAATAACCTACAGGCGGTGCCTTAAATTGCATACAAAATCAATTAAATTTTATTCAAAATCTTTAATTTACTCTCGATAGACTTTAGAAGGTTTTTCCATATCATCGTCATCGTTAAACTTTCCAAATCGATCGTCAGAATGGTCCAACTGCTGTATAATATTTTCAGGTGTAGCCGGCTCCTGGGTCAAATTAAAATCCGTTTGAGTAAGAGATAAATCCCCAATACCATCAAACACATTTACTTCGTCCTCTATCTGTGAGAGAGCTTGATCATCGATAAAATTGTCCCATTCAAAATTTTGCGGAAGTTCAAGAAAATCGAGATCCATAATTACTGCGCTGTGTTTGTTCATTTTCGCTTTTTGATTGCAAGTGCACAAAATGTGCAATAAAATATAATTTATATGCATAGTGTATAGCGCGTGAAATTATAATTATGTCAGGTGACAAACCATATTAGGAAATTTATTTGCAACCTATACATCATCTCTCTGCTATATTAGGAAATCTGAGAGTGCTATGGTACATGTGACTTACCGTATAAGTTTTTTATTGGTTTTCTCTAGATACCCTGCTGCGCCTTCTCGTGACCTTTTAATCTTTCTATAGGGTATCTAGAGAAAACCAATAAAAACTTATATACGGTAACTACTACTTGACTGTATTGACTGGGATTTCTATTATATGACTAGTCGTCATGTTCTCTAATTGAATCTAGGCAGATTTAAACATTGTTTGCTTGACTTTATATCCCAGCCAATTAAATATTTGTATGTGTTTTATATTTTGTCTGTTTTTGTCATTTATTTGATTCAATGACCTTTTCACTCATATAACGTTGTTTCTCTTATTTCATTATATACGCCATTTAGCAAAAAAACGAGCTGCGAATCGCCAGTTTTTGATTTGAGTTGTACATAGCAAATTTTGTGGACATAAATAATGTTTTGCTATCGGTAGTCTTTTGAAAGACTGAGACCATAATATAGTAAAAATCGAATAATCCGGATTCAAATAAATTGGTTGGATTTATATATGATTCTCACCACCAAAAGTGTCCATAATTGTTTTATCATTTAGCCCGGGTTCAAATACTGTGGAATCATTTTAATTCGTGGGGGTCAATGTTTGTGAGCAAGCAAAATTTTACATGTTCGTGGGGACGTAATTTCATGGGTTACTCATTTATACAATAGATTCAATGAAACAATATGTTTACAAAATAAAGGTTCGTGGGGATGTATATTAGTGGGTAAGGGTGACCCTCGAAATCCACGAACATTGATCCTCCACGAACAATGATGACTCCACAGTAAATAAGACATTGAGGCTGTATGAGACACCAATGAGACATTCATTCATTGTTATATGCAATATTGGTGATTTGCAGACATATAGAATAGACAGTTAGTTAACACAGTTATGAAAACTCTCTTATAGTTTTGTTTTAAGGGACCAGGCAAAATTTATCACAATGATGGGACCGGTACAAACAGGCATGGGACAATGAATTTTTTCATCGAAGAAAACCATGGGACAAAAACATTTTTTAGCATTTAGTAGCCATGGCACAAACATGGGACAAACACTTTTTTAAATGAGTTACAGTACTTCACTCAAGAGACACATTTATTATATTTAAACATATTTTATCTTTTAAAAAATAAATTCTTCAAAAAGTCATTGTATATTTTAAAGTCAAACAAAGGATACAAAGTGCAACATAAAAATCTTCAAATTAATACTGCATGCAAAAATAACAAAGTAACAAACAATGTTAATAAGAGTTATGAACATGAACAAACAAATTATTTCAATAAATCATTCAAAATATACTGCTAACAAATTCTAGAGTAACATCTCTAAAACAACCAAAATCAATCATGTATTTTACACGAATGTCTCTCAAGTTGCATCCATTCAGACAACTTTCATAGAACAATTATAGGCATTTATGTCTGCTGTTCGATCCAATTCATTTATAATTTTTTTTTACAATTAAATTCTTTATTGCATAATACACCCATATGGGTCAAGCAATACAATTCATAATAAGAAAACACAAAGAACAATGAATGTATTTATACAATAGGCGCAATTTAAAGTGACAGTAAGGCGCATCTCATCAAAAAACTGACTTGTTAAAATATTCCGACAAGATTTGGAATTTTTTTACAACTCATAAAAGTTGTAAAAAATAATACATGTATGGTACAAATAAACAGATCGAAGATTGCTCCAGTTCGTACGACCCTTGATTTTCCGGCAGATTCCAATTACGTTAATTTTGTATGAGAAGAGAATATTTATGTTTCTCGAACATCAACTTTATATCTTATTTCGTAATGATATATTGGGTAAATTTGAATGAAAAAGCACACGTTTTTCAGCCGTACTATCGCTTTCAGTAATTTACTCCTTATATGTTACACCGATGTGGACCTTTTATTTCTTAATTCTAATGATTGTTTTATAAAAGTGAAAACAGCCGGTATAACTTCAATTGTTGGGCTAAGTATATATTCAAGTTTCTGTATGGGTGATTTGTGATAGAATTAGGAACAATTATCTACATGTAACATGGTTTTTATAAGTATATTCCTTGCTTGTATAATCAAATTACATTGTAAAAAGAAATGAAATTCATCATCAATAGCATTACATGAAGTGCATAATCTTTATGGTCGAGGTATTTTCTTATGTCTACCAGTTTCAATCAGTAGCCAGTGGTCACTTGTTCGAAACTTAGTTAGTAATTGTCTATTCTTGAGAGCATAAGATATTCTTCCATATTGAGATTGTGTTTTATTTTACTGTACAAATACAGTTTGGAGTTTTCTGTGAATTTGGATACTTTTTCCATAGTTTTGCCTTTATAATTATATAGTACTATTTTCTTCAACTTCTTTTTAACCGAATTTCGAATGTTGTCAAATTTTTCATTTTTTTTCCCCTGTAGTCATTGCTATTTAAATTATTTTCTTTAAATATAGACAGTGCGAGGGTATGCCACGAGTAAACCCCTCTTCATGCAAAGACATATTGATATTATATGATTCTTTAATTATGGGGTTTACATTCTGAGAGTTTAGTCGTACAAAGTACATCATAACTAGAGTTTTAATAAAAGAAGAAACTGGAAGTCTACCTAGTTCACACAATGATGAAATGTTGCATGCTATGGAAAAAATATATTTTACACTAAAACATTCATCAATGTTTGAAATACCTGTAATCTGAAAGACTCCTTCAGTTAATATATAAAAGTAATTGTTAACACTGTACTCTTTGTTTTTTTTTTTTGTTTTTTGTTTTTTTTTGGTTTTGTTTTGTTTTGTTTTTGTTTGTTTGTTTGTTTGCTGTTTGTTTGTTTGTTTGTTTGTTTGTTTGTTTTTTTTTTGGCAATAATGTGGCATTAAAAGTTTAAATCTAAAGATTAGATAAGAGATAGTTATAGATAAGTTTAAACTTTAGATTTAAACTTTTATTGTGACAATAATCTCACATCAAGATTTAACCATGGGACAGTAACATTTTTATAAGGCTAAAGGCATGGGACAAATATTTTTTTTCAATACGAAAGCCATGGGACATGTAATTTTTTTAATGAGAAAATTTTTTTGTACCGGTACCATCATGGTGATAAATTTTGCCTAGTCCCTAAGAGAAAATGAAGTAGTTAAATACTTACTTTGGGTAAAGTAATGGAAAGTTAGGAGAGGTGATGATATACGGAGACGAAATCGAAATATTGAAGGTGTTATTCTGACTTGTACATCCCGCTGTAAATTAAATGTGTTAAACTTTTGTCAACTCTTTTCCAAAGAATGATTCTGCTCCGTTTGATTTTCAACTTATTAAACTCAAAGACATACTAGAATCGAAAATGGTCATTTATTAGCAAAATGGCGATCGACTTTTTTATATACACAACATATGTACAATATGGAAAAATAATAATAAAACATATGCGAAATACTTATAGTTCAAATTATGTCCCTGAAAATCAAAGGTTAGGAGTAAACATGTTAAATAATTATATAATCATCAGTCAAAGTCAAGGAAAAAGTACAATAAATGCTCAGAATATTTTTAATTAAGATATTTTATGATGTCTAATGAAAGGTAAAATGTCGAGCTTTATATATATATATATATATATATATATATATATATATATATATATATATATATATATATATATATATATATATACATGTATATATATATATATATATATATATATATATATATATATATATATATATATATATATATATATATATATATATATATATATATATATATATATATATATAAAGTAGTTTCATAAAATACTTTCATATATTTAACACATTTAAAGGAGAATTTAACAAAAACGCTTTAAAAAGAAGTGTCGTGCAGCCTTTTTCCCCTTTAATAATATTCTTTAAAACTATTTTGTACGTTATACTTATTACACACTCAAACAATATGACGTAGCACAACGTGGCGACATAATATGGGTGTACTCACATATTTTCGCTGTAAAGGGTGATAAAACAGTGATATATGAACATACAATTTTTATTCATAAACAAATATGGACCTTACCAAATTTTACATTTTCCTGTCACTAACCTTGAACTTGCCATAATGACTTTGGGTCAAGGCCATGACATATTTTTAGTCCACGACTAAATTTGTTTTAAGCTTCAACTTTCAACAACAATTTTATTTTAAGGGAGCCGACTGGAGTTTTATTGTGTGAAAACTACTATAGAGAAACTCTTTAATTTTATACCATATGTACCTCACATTGACTTCAGTATATATGCCAAGTTAAGTGAAAATCTACAGTTTGGTAATTTTTAGGGACCATCTCTAAATACAGGTACATTTACAATAGGATTGTATAGGAAAAGACCATTTTTTCGCACTTCTGAGCAAATTATACAAATGCTACCATAGACTTTTTGCTCAAATTATGTTATTTGATGGGTAATACTATATTGTACATTTTGTGCAAGAAGCACAAAATTCTACCGTCTGGTTTTCAGAGGGGGCATCTAAAAATGTCAAAATTCATGATATTTTCCTGTTTTATTGGAGTACAACAAACCATGACAGATACCACAGATTTACATAAAAAATAATGAAAATGATAGTTAGATTCTTAATTTCCTATGTTTTAAATTTCAAGAGCATGTATCTTATACTTTTTATTTTATGGCATAATCAATGACCCCTCTTAAAGAACTTCGGTTATTCATAACGTCAAAAACACACTATTACGACGTCTATCTACCCATCATTTGAAAAATCGTTTAAAAAATCAGTTATTTAAAAACGTAACTAGATTTTTTAACCCGAGATTTCCTAAATTTGTTAATCTTTATAAATTATGTAAAAATAGTTGCTTCAAAAGAGTAAATACGCTTTATTTTACTATGCTGCGCGAAGTATTGCGCAATAAAAACCCCAGTCGGCCCCCTTAAAAGCATTTTTTTTACTTTTTTGAAAACAATGCCTTGAACTTACTAAAATGACCTTGGGTCATGGTCGATACATAGCTTTACTTTGCATAATTTACATTATGCAATATTTTTGAAGAGTGTTCTCCATTACAAGAACCGTTCACGGTAGCTCAGTCGGTAGAGCGCTCGCTCCGTGATCGGGAGGTCGTGAGTTCGAATCTCGGCCGCGACAGACCTAAGTCGATAAAAAAATAGGTAGCAACTGTTCCTTCGCCATGCGCTCGGCACTTTGGAGTGAAAGTTGCGGGTCTTTCGGATGAGACCTTAAAAACCGAGGCCCCGTGTCACGGCAGGCGTTGGCACGATAAAGATCCCTCACTGCTCAATGGCCCTGAGTGTCGAGTAAAGGTAAAAATTTGAAGCCCTTCACCGGTATATGGTGACGTCTCTATATGAGTGAAAAATTCTCGAATGGGACGTAAAACAATATACAATCAATCAATCCATTACAAGATCTAGATATGGTCATGACAGGAATAAACAATTTTAATTAGTGATCTTGAAGTTGATCAAATTACATTGTTTCAACTTCAGGTCATAAGCAATCTCTGTACTTAGTATGAACTCTCAATGTTTATGCATATAGAAGATGTAGACCAGATAAGAATTTCAGATCGATCTTGCATGTACAGCTTCCAATCATTCTCCATTTCAAAGATATAGCCTGGGAAAGATTGTACAGACAGACTGGGGTGTGAATTCTAGAATCCCTTTTAAGAATCTTGATCTATTGAAGTCAAAATGTAGCTACATGAAATATTTGATTATTGATTGTATGTTGTTTAAACCGTCACGGTAGCTCAGTCTGTAGAGCTCTCGCTCCGTAATCGGAAAGTCGTGCGTTCGAATCACAGCCGCGACTGACCTAAGTCGTTAAAAATAGGTAGCAACTGTTCCTTCGATGAGCGCTCGGTACTTTGGAGTGAAAGTTGCGGGTCTTTCGGATGAGTCCTTAAAAACCGAGGCCCCGTGTAACGGTAGACGTTGGCACGATAAATAACCCTCACTGCTCAATAGCCCTGAGTGTCGAGCAAAGGTCTAAATTTGAAGCCCTTCACCGGTATATGGTGACGTCTCTATATGAGTGAAAAATTCTCGAACAAGACGTGAACAAACATGCAATCAAACAATCACTTGTTTAACGTCCCATTTGAGAGTTGTTCACAGCGAGGGTTCTTTATCGTGCCAACGCCTACCGTGACAGGGGACAACGGTTTTTGAGGTCCCATCCGAAAGACCCGTGATTTTCACTAAAAGTGCAGTGCGCTTGGCGAAGGAACAGTCACTACCTGTTTACGTCTTAGGTTTGACTCGGCGCGGCGAACGAGAATCGAAACCGGGCCTTCTGATCACTAAGCAAGCGCCCTACCACTATGCTACTATGACCGGTTTTAAGTACATTGTATTCGATTTTTCGGCCTTGACTTCAATGTAATACAATGACTCACAAACAGGTTTGCTGGAGAACAGGAAGGTAACATTTCTTTCAAATTATCTTCAATATCCTATAGAAACTTCCTTAAATAGTATTATACTATACATGTATTACCAAATTATTTTCATATATTTAAAAATGTGCCGAACGTATGTGGTGTTGGCCTTATTGTTATTGGCCTTATGTGTACAATTGATGTTATTTGTAATTTTAAAAAAAAATGGCCAATTTTTTAAATTACATTCTTCTTTCAAACTTGACCGTTCACGGTAGCTCAGTCGATAGAGCGCTCGCTCCGTGATTAGGAGGCGTCGAGTACCCACTGCTCTTGGAGATCGTGATGATTTCGCATATGAGAAATCTGAATTTACAGCTGTCGAAAAATTATTGGTGGTCGTTTGCGTAATAAGGCTCTTCCATTAATTTCATCATTAATTCAATCATAATCAGCTAACCATTTAAAAATGATACAAATTTAATAATGAAATGAAGATTACATGTGAATTGTTTTTAAAAAATCTTTGGATGTTACTGCTAGTATACGTAACATAACATAATGCAAGACTACCTTGCTACATGTAGCTGTTCATTAAACTGGTGGGTTAGAAGTTTTGATTAGTATAAATGTTTTAAACTTTCCTCTGAAAACCTCAGCTTGTTTTGTAGGTTTGTTCTTCTGTTTAGTTAGTTTGGTCTGAAAATTATTCGGATAACAATCACTTGACTTTTGAAAGAACTTCATTACTTTAGACAGGACGGAACTTCCTGATAACATGCTGTTTGAACATTTCATTACTTACGTTCATCTTTTCCAGCAAATACGTCAAGATAGAATCCTATGTCATCTGGATTTCGAGTCCCGTCCGAAGTGAAGCCGATCGTTGCTGTAGGTCCTGTGACCTTTGGAGTTTTTGTACAGTCAACACAGCAAGAAATTGTTGTAGGCCCACCACCTCCTTGGTGAGGAAATTAATATTTGAAAGAAATCGTTAGATCAGGCAATTTAAAAACTTCAATCATAATTGCTCTTTTCAAATAAATATGCATGTATGTATATCATAAGTACCGTCCCGTAATGATAGTTCGTCGCCATCCCCACACTTTAATCGTTGTCCAATGACAAGTCTTGCAGACGGATCAGATGCTTTGAAAGTCCACGTACATGACAATAGTCTGTTGAAAAATGTAGTTCTTCACCTATCTTTATTACTTGAGGTTCATTACCCATCGACCGGTCGGCAGGGGATGTTCACTCCTCCATGGCACCTGATCCCACCTCTGATGTATTGGAGGTTCGTGTTTGCTCTGCTCCTATTTTGTAATGTTTAATGGACTTTGGAGCTTGAATACTGTTCGTTATCTCCATATGTTTCATTTATGGCTTTTATTCCTTTTATAAAATAGCCAGATGAAGGGACACATTTTCTAAAATAAACCCCTTTAGGTAGGGGAGTACAACCAACAGAACCCACAGTTGAAAAGAAGAAGTGCATATGCGCATTTTGATCAAAAATTAGATTTATTTTGTAAAATCATGTTTACTAGTATATTAAATGAAAATCAACTAATACTGACACTGAAAGACAACTAAGCTTATACTATATATTATTTTGATCCTTAGTATAATATAACTATATAGCTCGTTGTCCTTACTTTCAAGATAGATAAATACATAAAAATGTCTTCTCTAGCAGTGTTATGAAACGTTTCTTACCAGATTGATGAATGTGTTTTCATTGATTAAACCATATTTATTTAAATTTAAAAAGTACTCAAGCAAGCAATAGAAAAAAATATATCCAAAAAAAAAAAAAAAAAAAAAAAAGACTTACGTATTATAGGGTGTCTTGCCATCTCCAAATTGAAAGGTTGTGGTAGTTGAACCAATTTGGATAGAACTTGAGGATGAACACGTAAGAGTTTCCACTGCTGTAAAAAGTTCATCGAGTTGAAAATGGGACGAGTAAACAATTTTTTTATGTTAGTTATACTCTCGTAAACAAATTCATTTGGGGAAGGATTTAAAGTCTACTGGATTCCCCTGACAAAAAAAAGATGGTAAACTATAGTTAACTATATTGATAATTTTGGCACAATAGAAACTTTGATTCACTGTAGTTATAACTTTGACATTTTGATCTGCTTTAAATATCACTTTGAAAACTTTAATTTACTGTAGTGATAACTTTGAAACATTGATTTACAGTAGTTATTACTCTGACATACTTTATGTTACTCTGTACAAAGTGATCTCTCTTTACATCTGAATTGATGTACTTTATGATATTTGTATCTTTACTTACTAATGTGTCATACTAAAAAGAAATAACATCGTTCGGACTTTCATTTACTATATCAAATTACTTAATATTTAATAGGAATTGAAATAGGAGGGTAATTTTTTTCCTTGCAGAAATATCAAGGCATATTGTCATTTTCATTCATTGACAATCACTAAGTTCAGAAAGTATTAATTATAATATTTAGTCAATGGCTGTGTATTCACACAAATTGAACATAACTAGATATTGAATCATATAACAAATTTGAAGGAAAAAAAAAACAGTGGCAAAAATCTAGTTTAGCTGATAAAAGAGATAAACAACCTAATTATTAACTGATATAATTGCCGTCCGTGGTTAATTCTAGGGATGAAATAGGTGAAATTACTCTGTAGAAAAGCACATGTTTTGCGCATTGTGCTCATAAGTTACAAAATTACATCGAATTTCGCAAACTTAAAAGCAAAAGCAAAAATGGGGAAAAAATTACATATATTTAAAGATTATTTAAAAAAACTGATTATAATAAAAGGGAGAAACGCCAGAAAACGTACATTTTTAGTCGATATATTTCTACGCAGCTGTCGACATGTAAATTTTGTGCCCATTTTCTCTGCTTGGTAAATAATGAATATGTACATGAAAAGTTGCATGTCAGAGAAAACGAATTTTGAGCATTGGCCGGCTGTCAAACAGTATGCGATTTTTAAATTTACATTGCCCATAACATAACATTTCATGTTTACAAATAATAAAATTAATGAGCTTTTCTTTTTTTTTTTTTTTCTTTTTTTTTTTTTACATTGTAACCACTTTTACTCAGACACGTACTAGCTTACATACAAACTCATTCTTTAGATGATAATAATAAGAAGAAAATGATTGGAAAAGGATCCATAGTATATGTATATAGTCACAGCTTTACATATTCTACTGTAAATATATATTTACTATTCTATATTGTTTTAAAGACACATAACTAACAAATCAAAACTTGATAGCAAGCGATGTAACAGTTTTAAGCTGAGTGAAATATATTTTTCCACAAGGACCACTCTTTTTAAATTTTGTCTATGTGGAAATTTTTAATACCTATACATTTTCCAATTTTATATTTTAATTTAATATTACTCAATAGCACAAAAGATTTGGAATATTATCTTGCAATAAACATGTGAAAATATACTGTTTTGTAAATAATAGTATAAAATCTTTAACTTTTTTACTCTATGACATTGGTAGTTCACCTAAAATAATATTTTCAACATTAAAAATCAGCTCTTTTGTCAAGAGTTTTGTAAATATGTAAACTGAGGTTACTCCACAAAGATAAAACTTTTTCCCAACCATTTAAAGCATGTTGAATAGTTTCTACTCCTTGTTTACAATTATCCGAATTTTTTATCTTATTTTTTAATGAGAATTACCAGGTAGAATCCTATGTAAAATTCTTTATTGTAACCATTGAATTGCAGAGTCCCTTGTTGTTGTGAAACAAACGTTAAAATCATCTTTTACACAAATTTGAGCAATTCTATTATTATGAAGACTATTTTACTTTCCACCTAAATAAAGATTTTAAAACTGTTTCCTTCGTGTTTAAGCAATTATAAATATATTTTGTACATTTTTCATACAACAATATATTTTGGAAATATACAGGTAAAAAAGGTCCATACTTTCTTTTCACAGAAAATCATCCATTGAAATATTCTTTATATACTTTGAAATTGCACAAACCGCACTATTATATTGAATAATACATATTGCAGAAATAGTAAATCTTTTTTGAAAAATCTTTTGAGTAAGAAAAGAACCCTTTTCATTAAAAAAAAATCACCAATAGTTTTAACACCATTTTTGTACCAATCTTGAATGAAAATGCTCTTTTTATCAACTTTTATTTTTTAGGTATACCACACTGGTATGTTTAAGAAATTCTCTTGTGAAAATGAACTATTGAGACTTTTCATAATGTCAAACCATAAAGTAAAAACACTTTGTCAGAATGTATTGTTTTTTGCCATTCAGATTTTGGAAATAAAATCATCTCCAAAATCGAATAACTTATTTAAAATGTCATTGCTATTTACAGCTTTAAATATATCCATCCATGGTTTGTTGCAACAATATTTTGACAATCTTTTCAAACAAAAAAATTTCAGGCTATTAAATTAATAATTTTAAGCCTCTCTCCCCCCTTATAGATAGTCTTGAGTTACAGTAACTCTCTTAATTTTATCACATTTTGATTTCCAAATGAATTTGAAAACATATTGTCAAAGAGAAGAGATTACATCTGGTTTTGGTGTTTTGGCAATAATATAAATGGGTGATTTAATTTAGAAATAAGTATAGTTTTAACAACTGTAACACAGCCAATGGAAGAAAGCATTCTCCGCTTCCATTGTTGTATTAATGCTTTAATTTTGGGTATTATACTACGATAATTAAGTTCAATTATTTTATCAAGTTCAACAGAAAAAAATAATCTCAGTAGATTAAAGGTTTAAGGTTGTGTATCCCCTGTCGAGCTTTCAACTTGTTTGATGAAACACTTCATTAGAATATTTTTGGAGCCTATCCATACAATTGTTGTCTTAGAACTATTAATTAGTGATCCAGATACTAGTAATCTAGAGTAAAAGTCAATTGTTTCAAGAGCAGCAAACAATGATTTTGGTAAACGGTCAAGAGCCAGCGAAGTGTCACCAGCATATTATGATCTTTATCATTTACAACAATGCCTTTTATATGACTGTTTTGTTCTATTAGAATAGCAAGAATTTCAGCACAAAGAAAGAACAAAAAAAGAACAGGACCTCTTTGTATACAACGCCTCTGGATATCAAATTGCTGAAACAAAAATCAGCATTGCAAAACTGATGCCTTAAAATTTGTATTGAGAATTTTTATCAAATTAATTATATTATTCACAAAAACAAAGTATTTCAGTGCTTTATAAATAGAGGACCATGAGATTGAATCAATTTTTTTTCAAAGTCTATTAAAACTAACAATCCTGGTATTGGTATATTTTTTGTTTCTGTATATGCCATTAAATCACAAACAAACCTGGTATTCTCACCAATATATCTACCCTCTAAGAATCCAGTTTGAGTGTCCGAAATCAAAAAATCCAAAATAGACTTTATTTTATTCTGTAAATTTGACATCCTGATATGAGTTTATAAAATACATTTAGTAGACTTATTGGTAGCCCTTATCATCTTTGAGTATGCAAGAAACTAATATCCCTTATCTTTGTGAAATAGGATGTTCTTTTATTTTTTGTTAATATACAATTTACTGCTTGCATGACATAGACTTTAAGATCACCCCTAAAGAATTTTAAGAATATCACTTCCAGGAGATTTTTTATTCTTCATATTTTTGAAAACTTTCTTCTATATTCGATTTCTAGATTTTTATAAAAACCACGCAGGTAGATTAAGGCTTCCCATAGAAAATCACTGTGCACTCTGTGCCTTCACTTCTCTGAACTACCAAAATATGACGTCATGATGGAAAATGGAAAATGACGTCAAGTAAATGCCAACTTGAGGTGTTATGACGGGGAGAGTGTCATGCATTTTACACTTTATTTCAAACTGCATGTAAAATGCTAGATAGCATTTGCAAAATTCAAGGGTCGTTAAAGGTTTTTTAAGTGTAATATGTTTGAATATTTTAAATACATCGCTTATGTACCTTGATTGAAATTCAGCATGTTCAAAATGCTTATGAAAAATATACTTTTGAAATGTACTCTGTTTTATACCTATAGTTTGAGGTAGAATTTATTTTGTGTGTATAAAAGAGTCTGGCGCAGGTGATTAATAAGGATTTATCTGAGATTTTTTTGTGGAAATCTGTAAGAAGAGGTTGTTCTCTAACTGAATCTTGCTTGGGAAAAATGTGTGATGGCTTTGTTTTAATACAGATTACGATATTGTGTGGAAAATACCCTCAAATTTGAAGGTAAGTTGAATTTCTCACAAAATATTTTGTACCCAAGTTATACTATGACTTTTCCCAAGCACATTTCGGGTACACAAGGAAACGATGAGTTTATTTATATAACAAAATGTTAATAATTATTGTGTTAATCAGCTGCGCTGAAGCGATTTATGTGAAGCACTTCAAAAAATTATAAATGACCGTCGCGTGATCAACAAAGCAATGTGATATCATAACAAACATTTTAATATGTAGCCGAGGGAACCCTTTATATAAATACAATACCTATAAGTTAAAACCAAAACCGATCTCGCAATGAAATATTATGTTTTGAGCGCATTTTAAAGCTTCGGGAAGCCTTAACATAGCTGTGCAGTACATAAACATCTTTCTACAATTTCACATTGAGATAAACAAAATAAAAAAGAGATCGTATCACTTATATAATGTTCATCAATTACCTGAATGGATGATATTCCTTCTTGAAAGTTACTTACGGTTACAGAAATTCAGAAGACAGAATGCTACTTACGCACTGACGGTGTAATAATATTTCGTACTTTGAGCATTCGAGGCCGTTCGAAAGTTAGACTCCCTTCTTTGATGTATATATTACAGTAAATATGTGAAATCAGGAATTCCATGTATTTCCTAAACCATTCAGTAAATACTTGTATTTACTGGCTG